ATTGCTTTTCTTCCAAGAAGCAGACGTCTTTTAATTTCGTGACTGCTGTCACCATCTGCAGTGATCAAGAAAGTAAAATCTCTCACTGCCTCCATTTCTTCCCCTTCTAATTGCCAGGAGGTGATGGGACCAGTGGCCATGATCTAAGTTTTTTTGATGTTGAGCTTCAGACCATATTTTGCGCTCTCCTCTTTCACCCTCATTAAAAGGTTCTTTAATTTAATCAACAACCTCAGATATGCAGATAACACAACCTTGATGGCAGAAAGTGAGGAGGAATTAAAGAACCCTGTGAGGTAGGCTAGGCCAAAAGACAAGCATTGTGTCAAGGTCACCTAGTTAGCTCCATGGCCGATGCGAACCTGGGTCTCTCTCGTTTATCTCCAGCACACTAACCACTATAATGCACTGCTATAGATTAACAAATAAAAATAATGGATTCTCAGAGCCATGGGGGTTTTTAGGGAAGAATACTTATAATGCTGGAAAGAATGCTTAGAGCCGGAAAGAATTGCCGGGGGAGAAATTGTAGATGATGGCTTCCACAATACCTTTCGCAACTCCTGCAGCAACGCAAGTGCAGTAAATGAGCACTTGTTCGCTGAACAGAAAGGAGACCTTGTCACTGCTCTGACTACTGCAATTGCAATCAAAAGACCTACTTTGTGCAGTTAAGGAAATACCAGCTTCGGACGGATGTGTCAAGGAGCCGAGTTTGCTTTACCGCTGAGGGCACCCCATGAAGAAATTTTAGCAGCAAAGTCTAGTGTGGTGTGACAGCGGTTCTCGGTGCACGTGCAGAAAACTCCAATCCGCCTACTCTCGTAGGCCTCCCTCGTAGCTCAGCCAACCTTGAAACCTGCCTTGGCAGTCTTTAGATCAGAGATCATTACAGCAAGCCCACATCTTTTGCTGGGTTATGTGCTGGGAATCTTGCTTGAATCATGTACAGTCAAAACACGTTGGGTTCAGTGGCGGGTGAGATTGCCAAAGTTATTCCCCCAGAAACCCTCCCCCTGTATTGTATTGTATTGTATTGTATTGTATTGTATTGTATTGTATTGTATTTACTTACTTACTTACTTACTTACTTACTTACTTATTATAAAATTGCCACACATGTAAAGCTGAATGCACGCAAGTTAAACACGCGACGAGGCCTTCTGATTCTTAGCTAGACAGTTCCTGTATTGGATCGTATTATTTAAGAGTGCAGAATAACTGTTTTCCAAATCTCTGCAGCACTAGAAGAGGCTTTAAACTGATTAAAAGAGCTCTCTTAAAAACACTTGAGTAACCTGATGTGTTTAACATGTGTGCTGAAAATTATGCAGCAACCCGGCATCTTCTTTTATTGCTAGAGGAATCCGGATTAAGAGAGTCCTTGAAAACTACTGGAAGTGGGGACTCTTGTGTGAGTTTCCTTCCTTGTTGCAGGAATATTAATTGAGGTGAAGCTATTGAGGACAGGAAGGGGGGGTTGGGTCCTATCCCTACAAGCCAATGTGTTTTCAATGTCTTCAATGGGACAGTAATTCAGCTATTTGGAAAGCAGAGATCATTTAGCACTGCACCAGAACAGGTGATAATATTGTAATGTTAGGTGAGGAAAAGGTAATCTCTTGGGCCAAGTGAGGATTTTAGCTTTGATGGTGAGACATTCCCCACCCCCACCCCCCTGATAGCTCTGAGATAGCTACACAAAATTTCAGGGCAAATATCACTGATTTTTCATGATCACTCTTCAATATCCACTTTAAATTGATTTCTTCTGTAATATGTTTGATGTAACAGATTATTCCACAGAAACTCCTGCAGTTTCTCATGATAGTTGAAGTAGTAAGTGGTGGTCCCAGACATTTGTGGCCTCCAGGAAAAATACTGAAGTTCTTTAGGACTAAGGATAAGTTTACTTTGAATGTAGATGCTAGTGCTCAGCTTGATTGCTTCCCTCCAAATTGTAGATTATGTGAAATATGTGTTTGTTACATCTTAAACAGCATTTGTTCTGAACATGACACATAGAAAACTATATAAACGTTCTTCATTTTGATCTCATTAGATAAAGGTAAAGGGACCCTTGACCATTAGGTCCAGTTGCAGACGACTCTAGGGTTGCAGTGCTCATCTTGCTTTACTGGCCGAGAGAGCCGGTGTACAGCTTCCGGGTCATGTGGCCAGCATGACTAAGCCGCTTCTGGCGAACCAGAGCAGCGCACGGAAACACCGTTTACCTTCCCACCGGAGTGGTACCTATTTATCTACTTGCACTTTGACGTGCTTTCAAATTGCTAGGTGGGCAGGAGCAGGGACCGAGCAACGGGAGCTCACCCTGTCGTGGGGATTCGAATCGCCAACCTTCTGATCAGCAAGCCCTAGGTTCTGTGGTTTAGACCACAGTGCCACCGCTCATTACATCACTCTAAAGCAATCATCACCTTTGTAAGGGAAGGACCGGAGCTCCATGGCAGATCACACACAGAAGACCCCAAATTTAATCCCCAGCATCTCTAAGCAGAGCTGGGGGGAAACCTCTAGGAAAACCTGAATGGCTGCTGCCAGTTTGTGTAGGCAGCTAGACCATGGGTAGGCAAAGTAAGGCCCGCGGGCCAGATCAGGCCCAATTGCCTTCTGGATCCAGCCTGTGGACAGTCCGGGAATCGCTGTGTGGATTGCCAGTGCGCGTGTTTTCCCCCTCTGCCTCCCTCTCCCTCACACAGCAGCGGTGGCACCTCCTCCCTCCCTCCTCCTGGCCTCTCCCTGCCCTGCCTACAGGAGGAAGAGGGCTGGGCTTTGTTGGTGCCAGCAGCAGCAGCGCTCGAGCTGCTGCCATTTTAAGCAGCCCCTCTCTGGAGCCCTTTCGCACGCCACTCATCATCCCTCCGCCGCCGCTGCCAGCCCCTGCCACTCACAAGACACAGATAAGCAGCCACCAGGGCTCGTGGTGCTCTTGCATCATTTCCCCCCCCAAAAAAAAATAGTCCTGCCCCCCCACAAGGTCTGAGGGACAGTGGACCAGCCCCTGCTGAAAAAGTTTGTTGACCCCTGAGCTAGACAGACCATCAACTATGTTCAGTATAAGGTAGCTCTGTGTGTTCATAACTGAAGTGATAGCTAATGAGGCCCTTTATATGTCCAGCTGTCCTTTGTCAACAACAAATTGTCGCTCTTTTTGTGTTGGATATATGCTATATGGTAATTTATGGACCTAATAGGTATCTAAAGCCATTTGCACATAACAAAATATGTATCCTATCAAAGCAATTGATATAGAAATGAGCAAACCAGTGATATTTTAGGGAGCAGGCTAGCAGGCGGGGCCCATTACCTACATCATAGGAGCCTACACAACACAAAACACTGTTGCTGTATGTAGGTTTTGTTTTTTATCTTCTTTTTTGGAAATGTGCATCCAGGGTTTTTTCCCCCTTTAAATTTTTGGGGGGCCACAAGAGAGTGGGGCCCTAAGCTATAGCTTGTTTATCTTATACAGTGGTACCTTGGGTTAAGAACTGAATTCGTTCTGGAGGTCCGTTCTTAACCTGAAACTGTTCTAAACCTGAGGTACCACTTTAGCTAATGGGGCCTCCTGCTGCCGCCACGCTGCCACCACACGATTTCTGTTCTCATCCTGAAGCAAAGTTCTTAACCCGAGGTACTATTTCTGGATTAGCGGAGTCTGTAACCTGAAGCGTCTGTAACCCAAGGTACCACTGTACGTGAATCCAGTACTGGGAAGAGGATTAAATAAAGATGAGAGGCACTTGCCTTTTGCTGCCCCCTTCTGGAATACGAGGAGAGTGGAAATCAGTGAGTGTTACCAAAAACTCTTCCAGACTTTAGAGCAGAGGTTTTCAACCTTTTTGAGTCCATGGCTCCCTTGACCAACTACCTTCTTTCTGCGGCACCTCTGTGGGGCTCAGGAGCCCATTTATGTTACCCCTTGCCTGCCAAGCTGGCAGCTGCTCACCCTTTTTTGAACACCCTTGCAGAGTGTTCCCTCAGCCTCCTCTCCTTGGGGAAGGCAGAGATGCGAGAGGGCATAAGAGAAGGGAGGGAAGGAAAGAGGAACAGGAGCCAGTGTTGCCCACAGCAGCCCTGACCATCATTCAAGGCACCCCAGGGTGCCACGGCACACCGGTTGAAAACCTCTGCTTCAGAGAATAACATGCCATTCTGATTTTTTTGTTTGTGGATCCTTAAAAGCAGCAAATCACGATCAAAACTGTGTTGGAGTTATCTGAGTGCAAATAGTAAATATGACTAAATGTTTCTGAATTGTGTTAACCACCTGAGGTAATAATAATCATAATTCATACCCCACCCATCTGATTGGGTTTCCCCAGCCACTCTGGACAGCTTCCAACAGAATATTAAAAACATAATAAAACATCAAACATTAAAAACTTCCCTAAACAGGGCTGCCTTCAGATATCTTCTAAAAGTCAGATAGCTGTTTATTTCCTTGACATCTGATGGGCGCCGCTACCAAGAAGGCCCTCTGCCTGGTTCCCTGCAACCTCACTTCTCGCAGTGAGGGAACCGCCAGAAGGCCCTTGCAGCTGGACCTCAGTATCCAGGCTGAATGATGTGGGTGGAGACGCTCCTTCAAGTATACTGGGCCAAGGCCATTTAGGGCTTTACAGGTCAGAACCAACACTTTGAACTGTGCTTGGAAGCGTACTGGTCAGGTATGAGGCGACAGATTAGTGTCGCTCCATTTGGCCTCCTCTGGGCAGAGTTCTGTACCCAAGCAGACTCATCACACCAGTGTGGTTGTACATCCCCTGTGTGCCCCCAACAGCTCCTCAGGCTGTGCTCCCTTCCATTCTACCTGCCTGCACCCAAGTTGTGTTGTCTTCCCCACCATTATCCCTCCCTTGATTTGCCTTGCATCCCTTGCCTGAAGCAGGTCAGAGTGCTTAACCCTCCTTAAACCACATCCAATGAGCATGCAGCCTTCTGATAACACATCATGCAGAAAGAGAGAGGGAGGCAAATTTGATTTGAAACAAAGTTTTTATGAAGCAAGGTTTATAATACAAGCAAGCAAAGACGTTTGCCATTACAAAAGAAAGCTAAAATACCATTCTAACCTAGGATATCCCTTGTATTTCTCAACGCAACCCTTGCCTGCCATCTTGCTGAAACAAGGGACCTAGCACACCTGTCAAATCCATGGTAAGCACAATTCTCATCAATTGCTTTTTTGTGGACAAAAATAATTTGCTCCCCAATCTCCAAGGGTCTGTGGTATGGCCTCTCCACAACTGCTTAAGCCCACTGATTCATCTGTTAATTCTATCCAACAAGTCAAAACTGGCTACCAATCTCAACTGGGTTGCCACTCTTTCAATAAGTTATAGGTATTGCATGCCTTTTTGTATCTGCTGTACGTCAGAAGTGGGGGACATTCGGCCCACCAGATGTTGCTGAACTACAACTCCCATCAGCCCTAGCAATCATGGACAAATGTCAGGGACCATGGGAGTTGAAGTTCAGAAACATCTGGAGGGCCAAAGTTTCCCCACACCTGCTGTTGGGCTTAAGCAGCCCCAAATAGGGCAAAAGTCAGTCCTGCAGGATATCTCCGCTGCCCCATGTGATCCAACGATATTCCCTAGCACAAAGCTTTCCAAACTGTGTGTCGCGACACGTTAGTATGTTGACTATAGTGTGTAGGTGTGTTGCACGAATGCTCCCTGTTCTCCTCCCGGGGTTGGAAAGGGGTTAGTTTAACCTCCGGTTTGCTAGTAAAATTGAATTACTGTGTCGTGAAATGATGTATGTCTAAAAGGTGTACCACCAACATGAAAATTTTGGAAAGCTCTGCCCTAGCACATACCCAATAATCTTCGGTGTCTGCAAACAGCGGCAGAGATAAACAGCAGTGAGGAAGTTTTCTTCCGGTAAAAACTGCCCACTGTTTTATTTTTTCTCACTGAAAGATCCCTGGAAGTAAGTTTTAAAGCCACTCATGCACTGTAGCGTCCATGTTCCAACTGTATCATTTCCTATAGATCCTGAAGATCATTACTTTGGGTATCTATAAGCCTTCTCTGTATTCGCTGCATGCTACTAAGCCATGCACCTTTGTCTTACACTGTTACTTCCTGCAGCAATTATAGAGCGGCAGGCATGCTCATGCAATGCGCTGAGTGTCAGCAACCAAGATGGAAGTTGTGCCAATCCCCATTTATTGCTGCTAGTCCAACAGGCCAGTGGAACTGGCACAGGTTACAAAAACAAAAGCCGGGGGGGGGATTAAGAGAGCCACTGCCACTCTCACTAGATGGTACCTCTCCTGTGAGATACTTTGCTCCCTTACTTCCTTTGCAGTGCCACCACCGAGCAGAGAAGCAACCAAACAGCATTCTTGCTTCCCTTCCTCTGATCACATCACCCTCCCCTTAAGTTGTTGTACTGAATCCCTTCTGATCTTGACAACCAACACTTAGCTTTTAGTTATTACACCATGGCATTTTTTCAGCCGGAAAGTCTCCCACCTCTCATGTGGGCACCATTGGCATTATAAGAGAAGAAGGGAGATGTTAAGTTCCGGCACCTAGAAAAATAGCCCTGCGTTTAACACTTTCCACCTCCAATTCCCATGTATCTCGTTTTTATCCTCATTCACCTATTCAAGCTCACTGAAATCAGCCTGCATGGCATCTTCTGTGTCCTGCTGTCCTCCAGGTCGAATGCACGCCTCGCCCTCCCTTCCGCTGATGAAGTCCTTTCACCTTCCACCTTTTCAGCCCCGTTTTTAAATCCATCTGTAACTTCTCCTTGCAACACCCATCTCACCTACCCAACATAAACATCGGGGGGCCAGGTCTGCACCATGGTTTTCAAAGCCTGTATCTACCAGTGACATCAAGACATGCCTCACCTCCCCACACTACAGATGGACCACGGAGGCCAGGCCATAGCTGTGCAGCAGATGTCATGCTTTCAGCCAGGAAGGGAAATGTTCTGAATATTACAAAAGCGATGATTTAGGAGAAAGGGAGCAGAAAAGGACCAAGCCTTAGCCATGGCAAGTTGATGCACGGAGGTGTCCAAAACCCTATGTTTAAGGACTGCATTATTGTTCTGGTCTATACTTCAACTAGCTTATGGTTAGCATTAAATAAATGTTTGATATTAATTTATATTATGTTCCCACCCTACATGATACACAAATTCATGTATTATATCCATAGTATATGCCCATCCTGTTTGCATAGAAGAAAGCTGGACCCACCTATCAAAAGAGGACAAAGAAACCAAGTAGAAGAGGGAAGCACAGAATTGTAGAATTGGAAGGGATCCTGAGGGTCATCAAGTCCAACCCTCTGCAATGCAAGAATCTCAACACATGGTCCCCCATCCAATTTGAAACCATAACAGACCCTGCTTAGCTTTGCAAATGTGCTAGCAAGCTTTATTGTTGCACCACTGGAAGAACCACTGTTGATCTCACCCCAATCATTGCATGTTTATGCCACCTCCAAGATGATAACAGGGTGTTTTTAATTAAAACAGTGGGCAAAGAGTTTAAAACTTAAATGGCGTTTCATGGAATACAAAATTTTAAAAAAGGAAGATGTGGAGGGGGGGGTGGCATTGGCCATCAACACAATTAGGCGAGGACCCATTAAGTTTTTTAGCACCTAAGTGTCTAACCCACAGGGCCAATAAGGAACCAGAGAATTAATCTTCGTGTCTTTGGAACATATGCTACAAAACAGTCTTCCGGAGCATCTAAATCCAAACACTTAAGAGTACAACGCTATGCATAACTACTCAAAAGTAAGTCCCACTGAGTTCAAGGGGGCTCATTTTCAGGAGAATGGGTACACGACTGAGGCATCAGTAGCATATATTATGCCTCACTGTTTATGTCCTATTCTAAGCATTAGAAACTCCAGCCGTTAATACAAATGCCTTTGGGTGTAGGCTCTCGATATATTGTTCCAGTAGCACCCAGCAACTTTAACTAGGAAACCCTCTTCCTCAGCAGTACAGTTAAGGGCTGTACTTCTGTGGCCTCCGCCTGTGGTTCACCCGGGGCACCAGTGTCCTCCTGGGGACACCCGAACGGGAGGGGGGAGAGATGGCGGAGCGTGGCCGAGGGTGCCACGAGGGTGCAGGGGACACCGGCGTCTGCTCAACAGACTGCATCTGCACCAGCGATTCCAGCAGTTCTGTCTGGCGATGCATGATGGCAATGATTTGTGCCGTGTCTGCCCGGTCCCTCTCTCGGTCCTGAAGGTCTGCGGTAGCATACCGGTTCAAGGAAGACAGGATTCTGTCAGTTGCGGTCTGTACCCTCCTATCTGCTATTCGGGACAATTCCATGACCAAGTCGTTCCTGGTTTTTCTTTGGCGCTTTCGGACTCTGGTCAGCCGCCCTTCGGAAGACAGAGTCGGGCAGTTGGGAAGCAGAGCCGACGAAGGGGCCACCGTTGCATCTGGAGATAGACAGGCACACACAAACACAAACACACAGCCATATATTAAAAAGGAGAGTGCACATTGCAATGTGATACAAAAGGACTCTGGGTATGTTAAATACCGTACTAACAAAATGAGTTCAGTGATGTATTTACCCCTTCTCCACCCCGCAGTTATGTTTTATTAAGTTTCAACATTTTTAATGTATACAATCAAAACACAATTTAATCTTCTCTCTTATTTTTCCATGCAGTTGTTGTTTCTCCCCTTCTGCTGTACCTGATCTTCTATTAAATCGTAACCATAATATTATAATCTAATTACCTCTGTTGCTCATAGCTCAAATCTTGCTTGCAAGTTCATCATACTATAATATTTCTTTAAATAGTCTGAAAAAGGCATCCATTCTTATATAAAACACTCATAATTAGATTCTCTTAATTTTGCCAGTCTGCATAGTCTATTATCTTACTTATCCATTCTTCCTTGGTTGGGACATATAGAATCCTGCTGTTGCTAAATACATAAACAACTTTAAAATGGGTAGGGGGATTTCTGTCCCTATAATACCGAACAGAAACACTTTGGGGTTTTTTTTATATACACATTTTAAACTGGTTTTATTTTTTATCTCGTCATGTTATCATTTCATATTTACCCATTCTTGAACCTTTGGTTGATGAGCTGCCAGGGTTACTGAGGAACATAGAGGAGAGGGATGGAGCCGGATGATCAGCTTCTAGCGGGAACGAAAAAAGATGTGTGAATTAATATGTTTTATACATATGAAGAGGCCTGCTGGGTCAGGCTAGGGCTGGGCAATATCTGGTTTTCAATATTTTGATATATCGCCAGCTAAACATCGCAATATACAGTGGTACCTCGGTTTTCAAACGTAAACCGTTCCGGAAGACGGTTCGAGATCCGAAACGTTCGAAAACCAAAAACTCAAAACAGAAGCCTCGAAACAGAAAACTCAATACGGAAGCAGCGTTTCATGTTTGACTTCCAAGGCGCATTCAAAAATAGAAGCATTTACTTCCGGGTTCACGGTGTTCGAAAACCGAAATCTTCGTTAACAGAGATGTTCGAAAACTGAGGTACCACTGTATATCACAATGCCTGAAATCAGGATGGAGGCATTGGCTGGCTTCACGGTTTTTCCCACATTGTGATTTTTGCATGGTACACCCACCGCACACAACCACATCATGATTCGCAATATATTGCCAGGTCAAAAATGATGAAATCAATATCATGATATGGACTTCAAACCGGCTTTGGATGGTGTATCAATATATCGCCCAGTCCTAGATCAGACCAAAGACCCATGTGGTCCAGCATTTCGTTCTCACATTAGACAACCAAATACCTATGAGAAGCTTAGAATAGCATAAGTACACAAGCACTGTCCTGAACTAGAAGCAGCAGCATACTCCCAGGGAATGGCCTGAAGGAACAGGCCACATAAGATTGGCCTACTATTCGGAGGTTGACCATAGACATCATGGCTTGGAGCCATGGATGGCCCACTCCTACACCCCATTGCTGAAACCAAGCTTGTCTGTTCAGTGCTTGGATGGGAGACCGTTTGAGCACCACCTGCCCCATGGGTTCCATGATGAAAGGAAGACAGGGCATAACTGTAAGAAAACATAATAAATAAACACAGCCGCAGCGCAGGTGGACCAATGCACAGAATCTCACAAGGTGCAACACCTGAAGGCAACATCTGTTCAGGGAAATTTTTAAGGCTTGACCTTTTACAGTGGTACCTCAGGTTACATACGCCTCAGGTTACACACTCCGCTAACCCAGAAATAGTGCTTCAAGTTAAGAACTTTGCTTCAGGATGAGAACAGAAATCAGGCTCCGGTGGCACGGCAGCAGCAGGAGGCCCCATTAGCTAAAGTGGTGTTTCAGGTTAAGAACAGTTTCAGGTTAAGAACGACCTGTGGAACGAATTAAGTACTTAACCTGTGGTACCACTGTACTGCGTTTTTATTATTTTGTTGGGAGCTGCCCAGAGTGGCTGGGGGCAACCCAGTCAGTCAGCTTGGGCGGCGTATAAAGAATAAAATTTGAGACTCCTTAAAGGGAGTGAAAGGCGGGATATCAAATCCAAAATTATTATCACTGCTACAAGTTTCTCCCGGGCACAAAGCAGAGATCTTACTTGCTGCCGGCCAAGACATGCTTGCAGGCTTCGCGGAGACCGCCCTCGTCATGTAGAACATGGGACTGGGCGTGGCGGAGTCGGAGATCTCCACGGCGATCTGTGTGCATGGGGAAAACTGATCCGGACTCTCACTATAGTCCTCAGGCACCACGGGCGCGGCTCCTTCTGCCAGGGGACACGGGGAATTGGTATCCCCCGATGACTCCTCCGGCAGAGCAGCGCGCGGTAGCCTCCTTGGGGGCTGGAAGCCAGAATCGCCGGCCAATATCCTATCGAGCTGCTCATAGAAAGGGCACGTCATGCGCCCGCCCAGCGAGGAGGGGTTGTCCTTGGCCTTTTTGTAATCCCTCCGCATTGTTTTAGTCTTGGTCCGGCACTCCTGGGCAGTGCGTTCATGTCCCCGCTTGGCCATCTCGCTTGCAATGACTTGGAAGGTGTCCATATTTCTGTAGCTGCTCTGAAGCAGCTTCTGGATCTTCTGCTCTCCCCATATATCCAGGAGGTCAATGACCTCGGTGTAGGCCCAGTTGTTTCCACGGCGGCTCATTGTGTTGAAATTAACAACCTATAAAATAATAATAATAATAATAATAATAATAATAATAATAATAATAATAATAATAATTTATATCCCGTCCTCCCCAGCCGAAGCCGGGCTCAGGGTGGCTAGCAACAATAAAATAGTACAACATTCTAAAATCATTTCATTATAAAATTAATTCAAATCAAATTGATGGCAATCATTGGGCTAGAGTTCTCTGAAGACTGCCAAAGGAGGGAGTCAGGCTGTGCCCTGGCCAAAGGCCTGGTGGAACAGCTCTGTCTTGCAGGCCCTGCGGAAAGATCCCGCAGGGCCCTAGTCTCTTGTGACAGAGCGTTCCACTAGGGCGGAGCCACAGCCGAAAAAGCCCTGGCTCTGGTTGAGGCCAGCCTAACCTCCCTGTGGCCCAGGACCTCCAAGATGTTTTTGTTTGAAGACCATAAGTTCCTCTGTGGGACATACCAGGAGAGGCGGTCCCATAGGTACGAGGGTCCTAGGCAGTTTAGGGCTTTAAAGGTTAAAACCAGCACCTTAAACCTGATCCTGTACTCCACCGGGAGCCAGTGCAGCTGGTATAGCACCGGGTGAATGTGAATGTAAATTTACGGAGGGGGGAAATGGCAGACTGGGTGACGTTGAGTCTCAAGGGGATGCAAGTCACTTTCCACCCCAAAAAACATGCACTCTACCACTGAACTATCCTTCTCACTGTGCAGCCAAACTACCATATCCAGTAGTCAGATGGGAATGTTACCCATCCCTTCCTAGGTAAAGCATGGCATGCAATACCACACAGAATTGTAGAGTTGCAAGAGACCGTGAGGATCATCTTGTCTAACTCCCTGCAAAGCCGGAATATGCAGCAATTGGCATTACAGTGGTACCTCGGGTTACAGACGCTTCAGGTTACAGACGCTTCAGGTTACAGACTCTGCTAACCCAGAAATATTACCTCGGGTTAAGAACTTTGCTTCAGGATGAGAACAGAAATCGTGCAGCGGCGGCATGGCAGCAGCAGGAGGCCCCATTAGCTAAAGTGGTGCTTCAGGTTAAGAACAGTTTCAGGTTAAGAACAGACCTCCAGAACGAATTAAGTTCTTAACCCGAGGTACCACTGTATCAGCACCATGCTCTAACCAACTGAGCTATCCACCCCTCTAGAGTAGTGGGGTACTTCCACCCCCCCAATCCTTAGCCGATAATATGTCAAAAGCCATTTTTATGCTTTACATTAAATTATTGCTCTTATTATTGCTATTCCTATTCTTAAAATAAATTTGTATGCCGCCCCTTACCCGTAGGTCTCAGGGTGGTTCACAACACAAAGTTATAATATAAAAGCACAAAGTACACAATTAAAGCAATTAGCAATGCTAATGTATACAAACTAATAAAAAGTACATTCTCCAACCAAAGCCCCTAAACCATCTCCCACTCCACAAATACAAAAATCCAAATTAACATATAACATTTTAAAACAATTTAAAACACACACACCCCAGTTAAAACCCCGTCCCCCCATTAAATAAACTTACACTGAATTATCCATTACTCTATTGCAGTTTGCAAACTGTGGATTAATTTTTTTATAGAAAATACAGTATGTTTGAAAGACTATGATGAATGTGCATGATGTTAATAACGTGTCAAGTTAAAATATGAATGGTGAGGAAAGACCCAACACATTCAAAAATTGAAAGTCTACTTACAAACTGTCTTTCGGTCTTATTAGTTATTGTCTTGTTGTTTTTTTGTTTTTCAATCATTGGTGAATTTGCCCTGGACTCCTGGGAGTTCAAAACAAGCAGAGCAATGATCAAAACTGTGGTCAGTACAAAGAAACATGAAAAGAAATTCTGCTTTTATTAGAACAGAAGAACAGCCCAACGGGATCAGACCAACAGCTCATCTACTCCAGCCCCCTGTTTTCACAGAGACCATCCACATGCCCATGGGAAGCCCACAAGCTGGATGTGAGCACAACAGCGATATTTTGTCCTGCAGTTTCTAGCAACTGGTATTCAGAAGCATAATACCTCTGACCATGGAGGCAGAATATAGCCACTGTAGCAAGTAGCCACATTTTATTTTTGTCTTGACCATAATGACCATGGAGGCAGAATATAACCACTGTAGCAAGTAGCCATATTTTATTTTATATTATTTTTGTCCTGGGTCATTTTTCTTTCCTCCCACCAACACAACCCTCATCTTGAAGATATTTACTTTAGGACTGGGTGATCTACCGGTGATCATCCAAAACCGGTTCAAAGTCCATATTGTGATATTGGTTTCATAATTTTTGACCTGGCAATGTATCACAAGTCATGATGTGTGTGCGCGCTATGCAAAAAATAACAATGTGGGGGAAACCGTGAAGCCAGCCAATGCCTCTACATAGCTCCATCCTGATTTCAAACATTGTGATATATAGATATATTGTGATGTTGCAAAACCAGATATCACCCATCCCTACTTGACTCACAAGTCCTAATGTTCCTATGGAATGAAATTCCAAACAGAATTTCAAAATCTGGTGCTTAAAGATGTGTTTGTTTAGTCCTGCAGCCCAAGGGTAGTGTGTTCACACAACACACAGTGAAAACAAGGCAGCGGTGGCCATTGACTGGGATGGTTTCAAAAGGTGGTTCAACAAATTCATGGAGGCCAAGGCTTTCATTAGCGAGCGATCACAGTGGCTGTGTACCAGAGGTGGCATGTCTCTGAATAGCAATTGCTGGTGAGCCCAAGTGGGGAACAGGTTGTTGCGCTCATGCTCTGATTTGGGCTTTCCAAAGGAAGCTGGTTGGCTCCCAGGAGCAATTCCCTAGCCTCCCATCATTGCCATCACTGTGGCTTACGAAGAGGGAGAGAGCCAAGGGAGAGAGGATGTTGGTGTAAGTTGACTTCACTGGGCTGCCTGGGCAGTGGTGGCCTCCCTGCCACTTTGCCACTCCGTGTACATAGCAGTGACACCAATTGTGAGAGGCCATGCAAGAACTGACACCCGTGGCTACTGGGCAAATAAAGGACACTTGACTAGATGGGCCTTTGGTCTGATCCAGCAAAGCTCTTCCTGTATAACTGCCTTTTCCGGCAGCTTATTGCTTGGAAAATGAGTGTTTCCTGTAACGGAAGCGCTAACTTCGGGAAAGACATTAAGCTCTACATAGCACTGATCTTAAGTGAATGCTCACAAACAAACCCAGCAAAACCACAGCTACAATTACACTGCATCTTTAACTCCAAACACCAAGTTAACACAAACCTGCACAGGGACACAGGGATCTCGTACTATTTAGGCCAACCATTTTTTTGCAACGCTTCTTAAAAGCGGTTGGAAAATGCAGAGCACATCGAAGATGCTGCACTCATTTAACGTAATACGGGTCGAATCCCCTCTAGATTCAAGTGCATGGTACTGGGGGAGCACATCATAGAGTGAAATAAAGCGAGGTAAATATGCACCGACTCCTCTTTACTAGGGGGCAGAAGCAACGATTTATAAACCGAAGAGGGAAGTATGCGCAAAGTACGAGGTTTAACGCGCGCGCAAGGGAATATACTGTATTACGGAGCGGCTGTGCTTTTGTCTTCCAGGAAGGAGCCCAGCAAATCCCCTCCTCCGGTTTTCATGCTCAGGGTCGGCCATCAAAGAAATCTACCTTTGTTACCCATGGGTAAAAGTTTTGCGCAGATCCATCAGCGGGAACTTCGGGTCCTTGCGCCCCTGCGAAATCATCCGCCGCCGCCACGCGACGGAAAACCTTGCGCACGCAAGCTTAGGCGAGGGGAGACAGGCAGGACCTCCCCCCTCTGCTCCCCTCCGCAGGGGAGCTAAACCAGGATGGCTTCCCTTGGTTCCGATCTGCTTCCGCTCCTCCAAGCCCTTCCCTGCTTCTCTCACCAACTTCCCAAGCCAAGGCTGCCTTGCAGATACCCAAGACCCCTCCTACCAAAGCGCTAAGGGAGCATGTGCAAATGGCCTCGGAGCAGGACTGCGGGATGGTTTCCTTCATCCCTGTTACACTTGAAAGCTACTACACCTTTCCACTTTTCTTTCCTTTTTTTGCAATAGTTTTTATTGTAAAAAGTTATCGCATTACCAAATAAATAACCATATGTAGGGATTTCTTTGTTCAACTGATGGAATATATACCGAAATGGCAAAACTGACCGGAAAGCTAAGGAACCAAGAAGACAACAACTTCAAGAAAGAATGGGGGAGAAATTTACAATTTATTTAGGAGACAACTGTGAGCAGATGAAAACATTAACAGGATTTTAATAACACTTGTAATGTAACGATTACAATAGATAACATGGAAAGATGTAAAATATGGATTAGGTATTAATAATATGCAGGTGTAAATGTTGACAATGGGACCCATGGTAGGAGGTCGAAGGATTCAAAGAAACGCCTTTCCATTTTTCGAGTCGGTGCTTTCATGGCTTGAGACCCGGGCACCCGAGAGATTTATGATCTCCATGCGCACCTTAAGATTTTATTCCGAGGGGTACCAAGTAGCAGCGCTTCCCTCTAGAGAATTGCCCAGGCACCTGCACCCTGATGCCGATTTGGCACCAGGCAATTTTTCCAGCTCTCTTAATCTGTTCTGGTTTAAACTCATTTTTATCAAGATTTTTCACACCGCTTTTAATGTTTTATTACATATCATAAATTCATTTTAATTCTTTGTTGCAGGGTGCCTTGAGAACACGCTTATAGGATGGCATATATATATTGGAAATAAGTGTGCATCTTGCAACGTTCAAGGTTTCCTTGGTCCCGTGCGGGGACTTCATCACATGAGATAACAGCATAGGATCGGGCCCTAATGACCGCATCCCCGCACTCTCTGTCCACCCAGACGTAGTCGTCAACTCATCTGTACTCGGAGTAGATTTACTGAAGTTGATGGCTAACATTGAAATTCAGGGACCTATGCCACTCAGGCGCATTCATGTCAAAAAGAATCTACTCTGAGTATAAGTAAGCTAAATGCAACCGACTCTCAAGTATCTGGCTTAAGGAGAGCAGTCTTCGTTTGCACCACTGCCTTTTCTCCAGCATCCCTGGGAAGGCCTATATGCATCAACAAATCAAGGGTGTTCTACTCCGGCGCCCGGCGGCTGACTTTTTAGAGACGCTCCCTAAAAGCAGAACATTCCATTCTTCCTCTCCCATCCGCCCACGCTCAGACTCGAGAACCATAGAAACGGGAAAGAGTTACACCCCTCACTTTCTGTTCCCATTTGGACGCCGCCATATGCGGGGCTGTCCAGCGGAACTGGAACCCGCTTCGCCCTCCGATCTCTATGGTAACGACGCGCTTGGCCGCTTCGCGCATAAGCTACTGGCAAATGGGAACCGGAAGTATGGAGCTACATCTCCCGCGAGCAAAACTCCCTGCTCCTCACAAGCTGCTGGAAGTTACGTTTACCAACTTCCGGTCTCGTGACTAAACCTCATTTCCGGTTTCTGCCGAAGCGACCAGCGAGGTGTGCGGGGTTTGTTTTTTTTATTACTATTTCGGCTCGGCTTACGCTGCCGGCACGCATGCGCGACGTCTCAATCGCTTCAGCTTTCGGCGGCGGCGGCGGCGGTGGAAGTCGAGGAGTTCGGAAGTTCAAAATGGCCGCGGCGACGATAGTGGAGTCGGGGCTGCGGGGGCGCGGGTAAGAAGATGAAGAAGAACCATAAGATTATAGATATAGATATCTAATATTAAAGCACGCGGTTTAGTTCCGGTAGCTGTGAGGGAGAAAGTCGGGTGGGCGAGGGAAGGAGTGAGGGAGAACGCGTTGTTGAGCCGTTATAACGGTCGCGAGGAGGCCCTGGCCGGGCCTGGCGTCTGAGGCCGGAGCGGGACGAGCTTCTTCGGAGCCCGCCCTTAACCTCGAGCGGGGAAGCACGAAGCCGGCTTTTCCCTCGCCGCCACCCGGCCCTTTCCCAGCGCCTGCTCGGGCCCCGAAGGCCTACCTTTGGGTCTCGCTAGAGTTGCCGCCCCCACCCGGAAGGGAGTCCCAGCGCCGGGCCCTCAAGGCTCAGCCGCCGCGCGAGCTTTCCTTCCCTGGGGGAGGAACCCCCGGAAGGTTTGCTGGAAATTAAATGCCGTTAAGCCTCTCCCGCGGCGGGGGACAGGGCGGTTGGCAAGCAGCCTCTCGCATTACGCTTTCTTTGTTTAAAAAGAAAGAACGTGCGCAAAGGCGAGAGCAGCACCAAATTAAAAAAAAAAAGGTAGTTTTCGGGATTTTTTTCTTTTCTCCGCACAAGTTAACTTGCGAGATTATGGGAGGGGGGGAGAGAGATTCCTGCTCATGCTTATTTTGAGAGTTAACTCTGTTCCCTTTTGGACTTATCGACGTGGCTGGGGAAATGTCTGACGAGCCTGGGCAAAGTTGCTAGCCCTAGTGGGATTGTTGTTGTTGGATTGATTGATTGAATTTTTATACCGCCCTGCATCCAAAGATATCAGGGTGGTTGCTCATAGACATGCTGCGCTGTTTTTCCTTTGCCATCAGTGCTGCTAAGTATTTCACTAACAGATTTCTTTGGTATTTTACTGGTTTTTAATTTCCACATCACTGACTTTGTTTCTCCGGTGTGCTTCATCTCAAATAGAGGTCTACCCATTTCTTCCGATGCAATCTGAATGATACGATTGCTTATAAATAAAGTTGTGGCATAGTCTAAATGCCATATGGGTCTATCACACATGCACACTTGGCTTTTTTGTGTCTTAGTAACTCCTTACAGGCAAATAAGTGCTAGTGTTTAACTTATAAACCACATGACGTTTACATTGTATTTGTTAAAGCTGCTCCCACTCCAGTGACATTTCTGGATTAACAGCTGTTAAAATGCTTGTAGTCTGAAGCTATGGTCAGGAGCCAAGCCAGTTAAAATCAAAAGACTGGCATAAAAAATGAATTATTTAAATTATTTTAAAGTCGTATTTGTATTTCTGTAATAAAGAACCTTGCATCCCATATTTCATGAGGATGGAATTGCCAGAGTTAAGAAAGATTACAATGTATTGTCCTATTTATGTAATTTTAGGGACATAACAGTATAGATAGTCACATACCAAAGTACAAACTAAAGTATGAACTTTGGTGGGATATCGGCTTGATCATGCATTTTTTACATAGGTGTGCATGTAGAAATCAGCCTTTACCAAAGCTCTGCCACCTAACTTTTATTTAGTCTAGCATTTCTCAGATGTCTGGGGAAAATCTGATGGGCATTTTGTGCTCATCAATTTCAGAGTAAATGTAATCAAACTTGCAGGGACCAATTGATTAGTGAACATGAATAGGATCAGTATGCAAGAAATTTGGGCAATAAGCTCATGTTGTAAGCTGTTGAAAGCACAATTTCTGGCTGTTCACCAGAATACACTTTTTTTTTAACAGCTATGGTATCCATGGGTTATTAGATTAGTAACTTCCTTTTTATGAGGCAATCCCTAAACAAATCATACACACACAATAAACTTGTAAAACTCAATTTCCAATCGAGGGTGACTTGCTGGTTAGTTATTAGCTGTAAACATTTTGTGGTTGGATGACCCATGTAGAATTTGAAATACTGTAGTTCCACTTATTAAGCTAATATGGCAATCCAGATCTGTGCATTTAGATGGGATGGTGTCTGCTGACTTCCAGCAGGAAAGCCCCACAGTCAGGGTGTGCCCACCCAAACAATGGACTGGTGGAGAGTACTGTCAGTGGCACCCAGCAGCCCACTTCCTACCTCCAGCAAATGGGACCGGCACAGGATCTGCTGGATCCAGTGTGGACACTGCTGCCATCGCATGATAGCAGCAGGCTCAATCTGGGCCTCTTTGCTGTGTCAGCTTGGTAGCTAATGCAGTAAAGGGGCATGTTACCCGCTCCCCACTGTTTCTGCTTCAGCCAGAACAAGCACTGGGGCTCCTAATCAGTGCAATTTTTGCTAGTTTTCACTACAACTTTCATGCGTCAGAGCTTGCTTCATGCTGCAGATAATTTGGTAAAAATCAACACCAGTTACAGGATGAAACACAAATTCTTTGAGAAGGTTTTAATAAAACTTGTTTTTCTTGCTAGAACTTGTTTTCTTTTTCTTCACTGTTTTCGCAATTGATAAGCATATGGACAAGTTCAGATTGCCCATTTATGTCAGCAGTCCATGGGAGGGGGACTCTTTAGTCACTGTCTACAACTTCAGTTAGGTTGAGGGCATAAATATACCGTATTGAAAGGTACAGTAGTGAAGATGGTGATGTATTAAACTACCTTTATGCCACAGTACTGTGCTGGCTTTCCTCCCAGTTGTCTAAAAATCACTGAAGTAATAGAAGTCGCTAGACTGTTTTCCAAAGTGATCAACACACAGTTATTTCCTACATCTTAAAATAAGAAAAATAACAAGGGGAAGACAATACTCTAATTTTCATTTTGTTTAAATACACTTATTGGCCATAAGCACATAATAATTGCACAATCCATAAGTTCACACAGATATTTTCATCTTTTGTTCCTCGTGAATGGTAGGTAGGCAACAGATTCCTGGATCTATGCTTGGTATCATGCTCAGGGATATTACGTTCATGACAGTGTGTTTTACTCACAGTTCTGGCTTTATATTTTGGAGACAATGGATTATATCCAACTAGTCATACTCAGAGTAGACCCACTGAAGTCAGCGGACTTAAGATACTCAAATTAGTTATGACTTGCGTTGGCGATAACCCCACATGTATCTCATTTTGTGTTGTGTTCTAAGCAGAGTCAATATGCTAATTAGATCTGTAAAATTCTGAAGCAATTTAGTCTGATACCTAGTTCAAAGGCCTTTTTGGATCAATGGCCACATTTCAAATTTTGAGAGAGTGCTGTGGGTGCAGGTCACAAAATGGTTGCCGTAGAGAGGGCATAAAGGTAAAGGTACCCCTGCCCGTACGGGCTAGTCTTGCCAGACTCTAGGGTTGTGCGCCCATCTCACTCTATAGGCCGTGGGCCAGCGCTGTCCGGAGACACTTCCGGGTCACGTGGCCAGCGTGACATCGCTGCTCTGGTGAGCCAGAGCCGCACACGGAAACGCCGTTTACCTTCCCGCTTGTAAGCGGTCCCTATTTATCTACTTGCACCCGGGGGTGCTTTCGAACTGCTAGGTTGGCAGGCGCTGGGACCGAACGACGGGAGCGCACCCCGCCGCGGGGATTCGAACCGCCGACCTTTCGATCGGCAAGCCCTAGGCGCTGAGGCTTTTACCCACAGCGCCACCCGCGTCCCTCTGAGAGAGGGCATAGCATAATGCAATATGGCTGCTGGGAGGGCATGGCACAACACAAAATTAGAGAACAGTTATTGCAGCTCCCCCACCCCAAGAACTTCACTCCTACCATGGGAAATCAGCTATGTCCTGCTGGTCTTGATTGTGGAGATACAGCTGTTAAAAGGCACAATCCTGCTTTCACCCATTCCAACTGTAAATCAAAGCCTAGGTTGTCATCCTGTACCCGCTTATCTGGGAGTAAGCCCCATTAGAAACAAAGAGACGTGGTTTTGAATAGACTTTTACCATTGTACAGTCAGTTAACGTTACAGGGGAATCTTAGTGCCTAGTCTTTATCTTCTGAACACAAGAAGACATGTCTCCCCCTCTTTTGCAAATTTTTAACATTTGCCTTTGGAAGGGAGGGAGAATTCTGTAACACACACCCATGCTTATACAGTAGTATTTGCAGGAAATAACTCCCAGATCTAATACAAACCTACCACAGGCAAGATGCATCCTGGTTGTGAGGCAGAAAGGAAGGGTGAATGACATCTTCCAGGGACAAGAAAAAAAATAAAGCTGGAAAATGCATGGAAGGGGAGGGGAAAGCAGGTGCTCTTTAGGACCCCAGGGATTCCTGTAGCCTGGTGTCCAAACAACTACTTAGCAATCATAGGCATACCTCTAATTTTACTCATTGGCTAAAAACACTTAACAGGTAGGAGCAGCTAGGCTAGCTCATTTCACAGAAATTGCCTATAAGGGTACCTGTGCATTTTGCTTCCTAACTTTCTTCCTAGGAGGGCTAGAGAGGGCTTGCTTTTTAAAAAATGAAATTGAGTCTGGGGCCCATGCCTGGTGTGCCAGTGAAGGCCGTCATGGGCACTGGGTTGGCGAACCATGATATAATATTTATACATTGGTATTTGAGCACCTTATGTATGAACAGTATGTCTGAATTTTAGTGATGCTTGTTATTTAATTATATTTAGTTCTTATATTCTTAATTTCATCTAAATTCTAATTCTAATCCTTAGTTGTGCAATTGAACATGTTTTGTGCTTGGTCCCTTATGCTCTATTTGTTTGAATAAAAATATTATCTTGATTGGTTCATCATAAGTTAGCTTAACAGGAACCATAGAAGAATAGGTATAATAAATGTTTTCAAGTTATTTTAAAAAATGTCCTTTCTTTAGCAAGGATGATGAACATGGCTGTTTAAACTAATTGTGCCCCAAAGTAAATCTGAAAATAAATGGGGCAATAATGGATCAATGTATAAAAATATACTTTGACTGACATCTTAAGTGTAATTGTGTTGTTGATCTAATTCACAAGTAGAAGTAAAAAAAGAACCTGCCAGGGAGTGATTTTTCCATCTAATTTTTCTGCACTAGTGTATTTGTGCTGTGTTGTTATTGGGTAATTACAATTTACTTGTAGGAGGGATCCTTGATGGTTACAGGTACAGACATGCTTCTGATATATTTTGCTTGAATGCAGGTTAAGAGTTCTCTAAACAGTTATGGGGCCTAGCTGCCCCCCTAAATTCTCCCCCTCCAAAGACTTTCCTAAGGATTGGGAGACTGTCCTATGTGGGGTAAGCTGTGTCACAGGACTGAGGGGGAAAGGAAAGATCTCAGAAAATTTGGTCAGATCTCTGGCTGCAAACCATAATATTTCATTTGATCTCTGATTTATTCTATTTAAATATATTTACAGAATTGATGATGCTGATATTTCTGAGAGAAGTGCAAATGAAGAAAATGGGGATATTTCAGAAGGAGAGCAACCACAAATTAAACACAGCCGGCATAAAAAAAAGAAGCACAAACACCGAGGTAAACATAAGAAACATAAACATTCTTCAGAAGAAGATAAGGACAAAAAACATAAACATAGGCACAAACATAAGAAACATAAACGAAAGGAGATTACTGATGCCTCTGATAGAGAAGATGGTCCAGCAAAAAGAACTAAAATTGATTTCTTAGCTCCTTTAGAAGACCTAGAGAAACAAAGAGCATTGCTTAAAGCTGAACTTGAAAATGAGCTAATGGAAGGAAAAGTTCAGTCTGGGATGGGATTAATATTGCAAGGTTATGAGTCAGGTTCTGAAGAGGAGGGAGAAATCAATGATAAGGTGAGAAATGGGACTAGATCTGCAACTAAGTCATCAAACGTTAAAGGGAAACCAGAAATTGTAGACAATAAAACAAGTTCAAAGAAACGGAGTAAGAGCAGATCAAAAGAACGGACTCGGCACAGATCTGATAAAAAGAAAAGCAAGTCAGGAGTTGATGGAATAAAAGAGAAAGCAACAAGAAGTAAATCAAAAGAGAGGAGAAAATCAAAAAGCCCATCTAAAAAAATAAAGTCTCAAGATCAAGTAGGAAAGTCAAAGTCTCCAACTCTTAGAAGGCGCTCTCAGGAGAAAAATAGGAAGTCAAAGTCTCCAGAAGATAAAACTAAAGCAGAAGATAAGATGAAATCTAGAGATCATAAAAAATCTCCAGCTGTTAATGAAAGTAAAAACAGAGATCGTGGCAAAAAATCAAAATCTCCACTAGAACAAAGAAGCAAATCCAAAGATAGACGATCAAGGTCTAAAGATCGAAAATCCAGGAGATTGGAGGCTGAAAAAGAGAAGAAGCCCACCAAATCTCCTTCTAAAGATGCATCATCAGGGAAAGAAAACAGGTCTCCTGGTAGAAGACCTGGCCGCAGCCCTAAAGGAAGAAGTTTGTCTCCGAAACCACGAGATAAGCCAAGACGCAGCAGATCACCTCTCCTTAATGATCGCAGATCTAAGCAGAGTAAATCGCCCTCTCGAAATCTGTCTCCTAGGAGAGCAAAGAGTAGATCTGTAGAAAGAAAAAGAAGAGAATCGGAAAGGAGGCGTTTTTCTTCTCCAAGGTAATTTTAATGAAGAAAATTAAGAATCAAGTGGTTTTAATTTTTTTAAATGTACCCACCTGTCCATCCCCTAACACAACAGAGGTGCTGAACTGGTGAAACCGAGATGCCAATTTGCAAAGGAAGAAATGGGAGAACACTATAAGTGAGCTCCCGATTCTTCCTTTCCAGCTGTGGCAAATAAACTTGAATGACCTGGTGCCATATGATGTCACATAACTGACAAGTAGGTGGTTCTGCCCACCAGTCAAAGTGGTCCATGGAGGGTGGGCCAATTCTGGGTCTACTCAGCCAGCTGGATCCAGTTTTGCCTGGTATGTGTTACAGAAATTTGTGGAAGACCTTTGATTTATTTAACAAAATATCAAAAATAATAGCATAGTAACTTTTGAGGTTTTAAGTGTTTAATAATAAAACAGTACGCTGAGCTAGACTTGTCAGTCGCCACTGATAATGTTTCTTGGGAAGTGGAAACATCAAAGCAGAGAACACTTTGTAACTTGGAAGAGGTCTTTTTCAAGCTACAAATAACTAGCATAGGTATGTTTGGAAAGGCAGACTGTTGCAGGCTATAAAAGCATCACATGAGGATTTGGTGTGAATATGAAACTTGATTTGCTAACATTTCAGCAGTTTTGCTATAGTATGTCTATATATGCTTTAATTATAGGGGACCTTTTATGTCATTCTTGCTTATATATATTTCTATTCAGTTCAGTCTATGAAATGCTATAAAGACAACTTTACAGTGAGTTTAAAAATTGTTTTTTAAAGGGAATCAGCCCTATTTTTGTATATATTTTTACAATATTTCTTCTAACTTCAAGAACACGAACTAGGGATGATATCCTCGCTAGACGTGAGCGATCAAAAGATGTCAGCCCACCTAGGTGGTCCCCATCCAGAAGAAGATCCAGGTCTCCTATTCGACGAAGATCTCGCTCAGTTCTTCGACGTAGCCGGTCCCCAAGAAGGAGGAGTAGATCTCCTCGGAGAAGGTATATATTTTACTATACTGTAAAAATAAGTAGAAATTAATATTGTACATTAACCAAGAATGGTTCTTTTTTAAAAAATGCCCTACCACCACCATTATGGGTTGTAATCAACAAAGTTGTTCCGTTAGCACAAGGACTTCTGCCTTCTCAATGGTACTTCCTCTGTTTGGGAGAGGTAAGGGAACCCCCAGAACATATTTGAGTGGGGGCTCGAGGGAAGAGGAAGTCTGATTGCAGAGGCAGAATTCCTTGCACTAATGGGGCAACTCTGTAGGACACAGCCCTATACATTTTGCCAATTCCCTAACACTCCTATGCTTCATCTAGGAGCATGCTACTCAAGTTGTGGCCGCCCTACTCCCTCTGCTGACCAGAGAGGAAACCAGTGCTGGCCTAACTTTGAATTCCAAACCAATATGCATGGTTTATTAATATCTAAACATGAGAGGAAGTGAAGAACAAACCTTGCCTCATCCTAAGTAATTTTTTATTTTATTTTTTATTTTTTTGCTTTTGAATGGAACAGATTTGAACCTTAAAATGCTTCAAGCATGTATAAAAATATAAGAGATACTTTGTCACATTGATTCTTTTTTCTTTTAATTCCACATTTTCAGGGATAGGGGTCGACGGAGTCGATCTCGTCTTAGGAGGAGATCTAGGTCACGGGGTGGCCATAGGCGGAGGAGTAGGAGCAAAATAGAAGACAAATTTAAAGGAAGCCTTTCTGAAGGGATGAAGGTTGAGCAAGAATCCTCATCAGATGAAAAGTAAGAACTGAATTTTAATGTTTCGTATTGTGATCTTCTACCAAATTTGTCTGTGTGTAGATAGATGAAATGTCTTCTTTTTCTTAAATCAGAAGTATTTTCAACATGGAGGGCAATCTTGAATATTAATAGTGAGTTCAATGCTGTAGCTAGCTGATCCTCTACCTAATGTACCACATTCTTCTTGTTATTTTAACTTATTGGCTAAATGCTGACCCATAGCTGGTGAACGTGTTATTACTCTTCTGTCATTCTGTTCAGTTTGATAGGGCTCCAGTGTCAGATGTTAGGATACCTTGGGAATGATTGCCAGTTGATTAATATTTGATCTCATATTGACTGAGGCTCTGCTACAGGAACCTTTAGTTATAAGCAATCAGTTTTGTAGGTTATATCCAACAGTGCTACCCAGTTGATAATAAGGCCCATTTTCAGCAACTTCTCTCCCCATAGTTCCTTACAGTCTCCCTAAATCTGCACTAGAGCATTTTAGAGTGTTGCTGGGGGGGGGGTTGCAGTGGTGATGGGAAATGAGCCAAAAAATGGTTTCCCTCCCTGTTCTGCTGATGGAGGCCTTGCCAAGTCACACTGTTGGATAGGATCCAATACAAATATGTATTCCTAGTCTCAACCATATAGTTTGTATTTGTTTTTGGCCAGACGATATTTGGCACAGTGAAGTAAAAATGCACATATACTTAATCTCCACGAACATGAAGACTTAAAAAGAAGTATATGTGAATATACGCCTGTCATTATACTTACTTGCCATCCATAATTATAATAAAGGCAAATAGATTGGTTAATCTGTGGCTCATATGAAAAGGGACTGGTACAATGTTTATGCAATAATCTCAATAGTCAAAATTTCCCCAATATCTTATTTACATACATTTATTCTAGGACTGTTAATACCAATCAATAGCACCAAATGCAGTCAAGTACACTACAAGGAGAACATAAATACAACAAAGAGCAATGTTGGTCAAATTTAAAAACAACCATTAACCATAATAACTCCTCCATAGTGTATTAAATTAGTTTGAATGAATTACAACAACTAGTATCTAATACTTATAAAGCTTATAAATAATGGTCAATTATAATAAAACTTTGGTTTTTTTCCTGTCAGTCTGTAATGTAAAGTTGTTTAAATTAACATTTTAGGATCCAAGTCTTTGAGTATTGCTTTCAGGGTATTTGAGTATAAATTCTTGCATCAATAAGTGGACTGAAGGATATGTCAATCATTTTTAATAGCCTTGAAGACTTTGATGTTGAAGAAGAAGATGAGGAAGCTTTGATAGAGCAGAGAAGGTTACAGAGGCAAGCAATTGTTCAGGTATGTGATAGTGCTGTACTACCACCCCTGCAAACCAGACTGTAATTTTGTGAAAGCTGATCGTCCATACTGTTTCCATAGAGTGTGGTCAGGCATTCAAGTAGCCATAGTTACAAGGACTATCCATTCAGCTTTCTGTTATAATTAGCTGCCACAAATTCCCTCATGTCTAGGTACTGCAAAGGGAAAAGAGTGCATTGAACAAAGAGGGCACACAATAAATGCCAAGTCATCACATTCTGCAGCGTGCTAAGAGGCATGCTCGAACTGGTGTATGTGGTAGCACCCTAGTAACCCTGGGCAAACACTCACAGACATATCTATTATGTTTCCTTTGGCTTAGAAATGAAGAGTTGGATCCAGTGTTGCCTTAATAGGTCTGTCTTCCCCAGAAAGCCTTTCCTGCTCTCTTCAAAGACCTTTAGGAAAAAATCTGATATCAAATAATAATAGAACTGTGGAGTTGGAAGGGACCACGGGGGTCATCTAGTCCAACCCCATGCAATGCAGGAATCTTTTGCCAAACATGAGACTTGAACTCATTACCCTGAGATTAAGAGTCTGATGCTCTACCAACTGCACTATCCATAATGCAGTAGAGGTCTGCAATAAAATGAAGTATGTGGGAAAGGCCTCTCTTTCACGTGAACAACTGCTTCCACGGTGCTGGAATAAAGCAAAAATATTTCTTTGGTTTGAAAAGGTAAAGGGACCCATGACCATTAGGGATTGCGGCGCTCATCTCGCTTTACTGGCCATGGGAGCCGGCGTTGGTCCGCAGACAGCTTACGGGTCATGTGGCCAGCATGACTAAGCTGCTTCTGGTGAACCAGAGCAGCGCACAGAAACGCCATTTACCTTCCCGCTGGAGCGGTACCTATTTATCTACTTGCACTTTGATGTGCTTTCGAACTGCTGGGTTGGCAGGAGCTGGGACCAAGCAACGGGAGCTCACCCCATCGTGGATATTCGAACCGCCGACCTTCTGATCGGCAAGTCCTAGGCTCTGTGGTTTAACCCACAGCGCCACCCGCGTTTATATCCACACAAAATGTACATTTTTTCAGTGGCTTAAGTAATGGAAGATTTCTTTTTACAGAAATACAAGTACCTAACTGAAGATAGCAACATGTCTATGCCATCTGAACCAAGCAGTCCTCAGAGCAGCACTCGCAGCCGCTCAAACTCCCCTGATGACATTCTAGAGCGGGTAGCTGCTGATGTTAAAGAGTATGAACGAGAAAACGTGGACACTTTCGAAGCCTCAGTGAAGGCTAAGCACAACCTCATGGCTGTTGAGCAAAATAATGGTAAGAATCAAATTCCTGTGAAATGTGTTCTGAAAGATGATCTGCAACAACTAAAATCAAAAGTGAGATACATTTGACATGGCAGCCATGAGTAAGAGACTGTCTCCTTAATTTTAGAATATCATGAAATATTGTACAAGTTTTCTCACTTGTATAAAGCTAAGTTAAATTATGCCTGGGGTCGCTTCAGGACTTGGTATGCTGAGTCACCAGAAAACAAGGGCACGCCTCTCAATTTATCAGGCTGACTGAACACACAGTCAAAATTCAAAAAACATTTTTGTGCAGTTTTCAGCACAATGTAATATGGCTTTCTTACACATACCCAGATCCCAATAAAATATAAGTGGTTGGACCCAGACTTAGAAATGCTTAGAGTAAAAGGTAAAGGTACCCCTGACCGTTAGGTCCAGTTGCGGGCGACTCTGGGGTTGCGGCGCTCATCTTGCTCTATAGGCCGAGGGAGCTGGTGTTTGTCCGCAGACAGCTTCCAGGTCATGTGGCCAGCATGACTAAGCCGCTTCTGGTGAACCAGAGCAACGCACGGAAATGCCATTTACCTTTCCGCCAGAGCGGTACCTATTTACTTGCACTTTGACGTGCTTTCAAACTGCTAGGTTGGCAGGAACAACGGGAGTTCACCCCGTCGCAGGGATTTGAACCGCCGACCTTCTGATCGGCAAGCCCAAGAGGCTCAGTGGCTTAGACCACAGCACCACCCATCAAAATTAATAGGACTTTAGTTAGAAGTCATGAAACTGGATCGAACGCCGGGGTTTTGAGATTGCACAATTGTGGGTGGGATTACTGTGACTAGATTACTGACTGGAACAGGGGGAAAGAACCCTATCTTGTCAATGTTGGTGGCTTGGCAACTAGATACTTTAAGGGACCACCTTCTTCACCCCACCCCCCCGGTGTATTACGATCTGCTTTAGGTCCTTTTCTAGGTCCTGCTGTCATCAGAGATGAGGCAGGTGGTGATCAGAGACAGGACTTCCTTGTGGTGACACCCTAACTTTGGAAATCTGAAGGTTTATCTGCTGCTAAGTTTAAGCTATCTTTGTATTACCCAGGTGAAAACCTTATTCCAGATCTTTAGATACATAGAGTTTTACTCTGCTTTTTGCTTGCACTGTAAGTTGTGTATTTGGGATTGTTTTAATTTAAGGCGGTTGATGATGAACCAAATGAGGTGGGTAGTATCCCTCTTCACGTGACAGAGGCAGGAGAGCAAAGAACTCTGGGAGGCAGGCACAGTCCCCTCAATTTTATAGACAGCTCCCTGTTTACACAGGGGTTACTTTCCGAGGCACCGCACACATTGGTGAAATCATGTATAATTGAAACCTATTGGAAAAGCCTGTAAATCCCCTCCCCCACCCCTGTTCTGCCATTTTAGTGACATTTCAGTGACATCTTTACAATGTTTCCAGGTCACTTCTGGGTTCTGCACGTATATACGGCCGCACACACATTGAACACACATAAACGAAGGGCTGCCTGTATTTTAATTGTGTTGCACGTTGCTCTTCAGTCCAGAAGATTCTGAAAGCAGGATATTAATGGAATGATCTGTAGAAATGTTAAGGCTATCTTGTATTCTTTCTCATTGCTTTCATGAATGTGAATTCTTTTAAGGTTCGTCTCAGAAGAAAATTACAGCTCCTGACATGTTCACAGAATCAGATGATATGTTTGCTGCATATTTTGATGTAGGTAATTTTTGTATAAATGCTTTTTGAAGTGCTGCTCTGTTTTGGTAAAGAACATATATAAAAACTTCTAAAAGACCACTGGATTAATTCCCAGTTGTTTTATCCAATGATGTCTGTGAGTGAGCAGAATGGACTTCCATCTCCACAACAGAAGTTCATCTTCCTTTCCTCCCCACTGCAGCCCACTATGTACCTAGAGGTTAATACCCCCAAAGCAGATTTAAGAGGAGAGAGAGGAAGGGAACTCCCATTGTGTGAATAAAGGTCTCCTCGTTCAGTGTTTCGTTTTGCCCTGAATCATTTAAACCATTAACTCTAGAAAGTGATTATTTGACCATTTTCATTGTTGCAGTTGCATTAGGGATAATACCAGAATTACTCAGCAGAATTCAAATAGCCCAAATAGTAAGATAAACACTCATCAGCTTTAATGAGAGATGCCTAGCATTGATGTTTTGTATGTTCTTTGAAGTACAAAGTCTCTTTGCCCTTTGATATTGGGCCTTCTAAAAACTTTTCGTGAGCTGCCTAGGAAACTATGTAATTGGGCAACCAGTAAATAGATAAATTAAAACAATTCTTGTAGATTCATAGGCGAATATGAAGGAAAAAGCTAAATGAGATTTACTTTATTTCAGAGTGCACGCCTTAGGGCTGCTGGCATTGGAAAAGACTTCAAAGAAAACCCCAATCTCAGGGATAACTGGACAGATGCAGAGGGGTATTATCGTAAGTATGATTGGTACATCTCATATATATTATCAACTGAGCACAACTGCAGATTAAAGGAATCCTGTTTAAAGGCCAGCAGAATGACATTTTAATGTTGCAGGGCTATCTCCCACACTTAGAACATCAAAGAAAATGTGTGAGTGAATATATATATATATATATATATATATATATATATATACCACAACTCTAGCTTACATTTTCCCAGTTTTTCTCTGGAAGCAACCATCAACATTCGCCATTCAATGGAAACCAGAATAATGGCTTGGAAAATAAGTTCCAGCTTTATTTGCCAAACTGGACTCAGAATGCAAACACTTCACTGAATCTCCTTCAAGAATATTGCATACACAACTACAAAAAATCCACAGGAAAATGGGTTCTCTTTTAGTTTTCTCATGTGGGAAAACAAGTTAATATTGTTCAAAATCCCTGAAAATAAATGTCTTGGTACTTGATTTGGGTGAGGCATAGAGAACTTGAGAAGTTGGAACTAATTGGCCAGAAAGCTGGCTTTACTCTGGTGCCAATAGGCACCCTAGCTTGGTTTTCACCAGTCACCCTGTTTGCATTGCTTGGGGGGGGAAGGACACATTTGTGTAAAAAGTGTGAACCTTCCAGCTCTTCCCTGCTGTGACAAGGAATTGCTGGCAGTGGTTCACACAGAAGATGGAGACCATTCACACGCTTACTTTTACATATTTAAAATGCTGTTTGGGTATTTTGCACAAATGTTCTTTAAAGAACATAAGAAATGCCCTGCTGGATTGAACTGAAAACCCACAAACTTCAGCATCCTGTTCTCACATTGACTGGCCAGATGGCTAATGGGAAAACCCACAAGCAAAATTTTAGTGCAACAGCGTTCTCCCCACTTGTGATTTCCTGCAGCTGGTGTGCAGTAGCACATTGCCCTTAGACAATTGAATTCGAACAGGCATGTTATAATTTGCAAATTTGCCTGTACATAGTATCTTCCATTGTTCTCCTTTAAAGAATTACCTTGCTAAATCCTCATGTTCTTTAAACTCTCATAGTACTTCAGGGATTCTGTGTTGACTGCTCATTGAAAATATCAAAATGGGGTGCATGGTTCTTTGGATCATAAATTGTAACGTGGGTATTTTGGGAGGAAATACTTTGTATCCTTCCTCTTTTCCCAAACATGGCATCATTAAACTGAGTGGGAAGAAGTCAAGGAGTAGCATTATGTATTCATAGAAAACCTATTTAGGTGTTACTCTGGTTCTAACTGACTTGAGATCAGGAGTCAGTCTAGGGCTCCACCATCCCTTCACTGTAGAAGGTAAGAAGCAAGCTAGTTGTCAACATGTTTTGTCTTATCCAGTTGTGAGGATTTCTCATTCAAACACAATATTTGCATTTCTATCCAGAACAAAGACAGAGGAATTATGTTAAAGCAGGCAGTGACCCTTAATGGAAATTGCTATTATGACTACACCCTATATGCATTTCTGTACAGGTAAATCCTCCTTGATAGATTGACAGATTGGCACTGAAAATGCATTTAACAACATCTTTTTTCTTTTCCTTAGGTGTTAACATAGGTGAAGTTCTAGATAAACGCTACAATGTATATGGGTACACTGGCCAAGGAGTTTTCAGTAATGTGGTGAGGGCCAGAGATATGGCAAGAGCAAACCAAGAAGTGGCTGTCAAAATCATTAGGAACAATGAGCTTATGTAAGTAAAAAAAAAAATTACATCTCAAGATAAAATGAACTAAAACAGTAGTGGCCCTACAAGTTTTGCAGAGATGCATGAACAGCGATTGAAGATTTGCACAATATTCAGGAAGACTGTTATGTAGCATGTTTTGTAAATATATAGAATCCTGTTATTTGTAAACTACTAATTTGTAGCTGCTGGTTTCAGTAGTTGAGCGACTAACTGTAAAGAGTTGGTGTTCATCTGCTGGAAGACAGTTTATTAATCTAGTGAAGCATTCTGTCCACAGAACAGAAATGGAGGTGAGACTTGACAGTCTCCCTCCACTCCTTTCTCCAGCTCCCATGCCACCTCCTTTGTTCTTTGAAAACTACTTCAACCCTCTGGAGCAGATTTGAAGAGACATTTAAGCTGTCCCAGTGAATTAACCATAACATTTTGATGTCTGTAAAATTCAAGTGCTGTGTATTTCCCCACCATATCTGTACATTTGTATGATACCTGAAGAAGCCTCATGGGGACTTCCTAATTCTGAAAGAGTTGGGTAGATGAACAAACAGACCCTAGGAAGGCAGAAATGATGCCAGACTCTGATGCATACCAGGGCAACTGTACTTCCAGTTTTCTGTTACGTACTCACTTTCTGGGCTATCAACAAGTTCCACCCTATCCCTTTCTAGGTCTGTGTTCTTCAACATTGGGTCCCCAGATGTTGGACTACAACTCCCATCATCCTTGGCCATTGCCTAAGGTGGCTTGGGGGGTGGGTGTTGTAGTCCAACAACATCTGGGGACCTAGATTGAAGAACAATATTCTAGGGCAGGCACAGGCAAACTCGGCCCTCCAGATGTTTTTTGGCCTACAACTCCCATAATCCCTAGCTAACAGGACCACTGGTCAGGAATGATGGGAACTGTAGTCCCAAAACATCTGAAGGGCCGAGTTTGCTTCTGCCTGTTCTAGGGATTATAATAGCCCATATTACCTCCTCCTTCCCCAAAGTTCCCATAACAGGATGTTCTCTATCTTCTTGCCTAATCTTTGCAAGCTTCAGTCTTGCATGCATTCAGTCACAGTTGCAAACCAGAAGTTTCTCATATCAGATAAGGTCCTTCTGCTCTTATCCTTATGGCTGCCTTGTCTGCCTAGTCTCCAGAGAGCATTATATGTCTTCTGGTAGTGGCAACCCCTAAGTTCAGATTACATTGATCCTTGTAATATTGTTACTGTTGCTTCTTTATATATTTCTTTATATCATTTAAACCTCTTCATTTTAAATGGTGTCTGTGTGATGTATATTATAATAAATGGATTTATTTTCAGGCAAAAAACTGGTTTAAAAGAATTGGAATTCTTGAAAAAACTCAATGATGCAGATCCTGATGACAAGTTCCATTGCCTGCGATTGTTCCGGCATTTTTATCACAAGCAGCACCTTTGTTTAGTATTTGAACCACTTAGGTAAGGTTTAAAGTAATGCTGTTTAGACTGTTTATCTTATTGCCCTGTTCATCTCCTTAAACTAAACCTTGTATGAAAATTTCAGAAGTAGTTCTTCCTCAGCATATAACAGGATATTCTGGAATAGGATATTTGAAAAAGAAATAAGCAGAATGACCTGACACGTCAAGTTGCAATTCGTTCCATCAGAGACGGTTGACTATTAAAGCAGAATAGTGTCTAGAGGAGGAGGTTCCAAAACTATAGAATTATCCTGGCATTAAAATTAGAAAGCCACAGAACAATATTTATGTCGCCCCAGCTTCTTCTGGGGAGGAAAAAACTTAAACACGTAGCAGAGTTCCCAAAAATAGACCAGAGGCAATTGTACTTTATCCAGCAGAGCTTGACTTGCTATTGAAGGCAAATGAGCATAATGGTCACAAATCCAATTCATTCAGGATTGGCACAGTCCATAAAAATCCAGCTGCAGCGCTTACAAGAAAATTTACAAGTATTTATAATAAGACTAAATCTTAACACTATAGCATACAGAAACAGAACAAAGAGACAGAAAGAGAAAGTGAGTAACCCAGGCTCCTCCTGGCCTGACTATAATAGTCAGCATGAGAACCAGTTTAAACTTACTGTATTCAGCTTCCCAGAAGGTATAACCCAAACAACAGAACCCTTTCACACAGAGAATCTTCTTGAAATAAGAAGCAGAACAGGAAAGATCTCTACACATCAGATCAATACTTTCTGTACTAAGAAATGCAAACTGACAATTTAGTCATTAAAACATAAGCTAAAAAATTGTTTATACACACATGGGTTATTTTTAATTCCATGTGTACATGGAATTGGGAGATTTAAAAGTAGTGGTAGTGTTTTCTGATAGAAGACGTTAACAATCTTTTAATTCTGTAGCCAAAACAGAAGCATTCTTTTCATGTAGGGTGGGTCATTTCTGTTCTGGAAATCAAGGGTCTGTCCTGTTACTTCATGTGTGTGTTAGAAAATCAATCTCTGAAGGTACTAAGAAATAGCTCTATTCAGTTATAAATACAAGTAAGTTTTCTCAGATTTATTTGCAACTAAATCATTGCATGCCTGGAACAACTTCCACGAGTGCAATGGAGCATCCCCCCTCTCCTCTCCCCTTCCCTTCCTCACAACCCCCAAATCAGCTCTGAAGAGTTGGGGTTCCCTCCAGAGCAGATCTGGGGGTGTGCAAGGGAGAGGAAGGAGAAGTGAGAAGTTCCACTGCACACGTTTCCGTTGTTCCATGTGCACAATGATTTATATAGATGCAACTCGTCATCTGCCACCTGATGTTCAGCTAATAGATTTTCAGACAAATGCTGTTGCTAAGTACAGTGCACCCTTTTCAGTGGTCCATTGCAAGTAATTTATGGGCTGAAATGGTGGGGTATAAAAAAGATTTATATTGTTATCTGTGATACATTTATATGATACAGTGTTATAAAAATAGTTTTACAAATAATAAATAAAGTTAATGTTGTTTAAACAATGTTATTACAGATTGACTTCTATAAACTTCCTGTACATTGAATTACTATGTATTTCTATTTTTAATGTGGTTGACATTATGTTTCTTCCACCTACTACTATCCCCATCTGTTGTGTGTCTCTTTTCAATTTAGTATGAACTTACGAGAGGTGCTGAAGAAGTATGGAAAAGATGTTGGCCTCCATATAAAGGCAGTGCGATCATATAGTCAGCAGCTGTTTCTAGCATTAAAACTTCTGAAAAGATGCAACATCTTGCATGCTGATATCAAACCAGACAATATTTTAGTAAGTAATATTTTGTTACAACTCTGCAGATAGTTTTGGGGAAAGAAAATACAATACCCTGTTTACATTGTGTCAATTTCTATGAGATTTAATTCATATTCTCTCTCTCATGGATTTTATGCTGAAAAATATCAGTGACTGCTTGATTTCTCCCCTACTGCCTGATCATGACTATCTCTCCTGGTGTCCCCCAAGTCCTCCCCCAAGGGGAAGAAGCAATTTCTATGAATAAGATCCAACCCAACTTAGTATAGTAATACAACAAATAAGAGCAAATTTAATCAAGCTTGCATTCCAAACTAAAGATGTGCCGTAGCTTAGGACTGGTCTTTATGGCGAACCATCCCTGTGGAGTGACCCTCCCTAGGTCAACTGTAACATATAGAGCTCTCTCACCGTATGGATTGCTCCCATTACACAGAGAGATTCCTTGCTGGTGCTGCAACCACTCTCTCAAACAGCCTTCACATTACTTGTAGTCTACTTGTCATTTTAAGTTTCAGTAGTTTACTGGCAACATTTGAATTCTAATATTTGGCCAGTGCTAATTGTAATACGCAAGCTAGCATTTTAATGTATAATTTGGAATTATTCTCATAACCTACTTGTGCACCTATATGATAAATTAGCATTCCACAGAAAATGCATCACTGGCATAACTGCCTTTGTATCAGTAGGCACACTTAACTCCAACCCCCTGACAGTTCCAGCAGTTTTTTTGCATAAGAAGGAACATTTTAGTCATGCATACAGTTACAAGGATGCATGGAATAAGGACAGTAACCCACTCTGTGCAAACATTGTACCGAACAGTTTTTGAAAACATTTGGGTATGGGCTGCTGGGAAGTTAGCTATATAGAATATTTATTGGAATGGATTGCTGTTGACAACCACAAAACATGGATTGGATGCTGGGCAAAATAATTCAAGTGCGAACTCTGTCTGTGAGGTGAAGTACAAATTCATTTCAGATGTTTCTTCTTCATGACTATCAGGTGAATAAATTCCAGTTTTTCTCAACAGATGTCAGTATTAACTTCAGAGTAAATTCCTTTTAAAATATGGCATCTCTAGAAGTTACACATTCTTTCAGACAGTTGTTTTTTTTAAAGATGACAAGAACTAAATAAAACTTCTGGATCAGACCATGGGGCTATTTAGTCACGGCATCCTATTGCTTACAGCGGCCCCATCAGATGCTTCCAGGAAGCCCATAGCAGAGCATGAAGTCATAGCACTTTCCATTGGTTACCAGCACACAGTGTTCAGATTCACCTTGATTTTGAACTCTATCCTGTTTTTAAACAAAATCAGTATTAATATGTGCTAAATACACATGCTGAACTTCTTAAAGCTTGGTGGTTAGTTTGTACAATCAGTGTCATTTGCTACTTTCTCCTTTAAGTACAATTCTTGTTGCTTTTTTTAAGGTGAACGAATCTAAAACTATTCTAAAACTTTGCGATTTCGGGTCGGCTTCACATGTTGCGGATAATGACATCACACCGTATCTTGTCAGCCGATTTTATCGTGCTCCTGAAATCAGTAAGTTAATCTACTCTGAGATATTCTTGCTTATATTCGAATTCTGCAGTTAATGTTGATTTTAACTTGCACATTCATGAAGGAGGACCGCAAAAAATTGAATTTTATACATGGCAAAATTTCTTGATGCGGTCTTAGATTTTAATAGTTATCAATCAACCAACTAGCATGGGTGTGGCAGACTAGTGTGAAAAGGAGAACAAACTCCATCTACAAGATTCCTTGGCTTTTGGTTTATCAAGTTCTCCCTTACTGGGTCTCCTCCTCCCTCCTTCACCAATGTCTTTTGCCACTCCTCTTTTTTCAAGGTTCCCTAGTTGCTTCTTCCCCATTTTCCTTTCACTTGGTTGATAGTATCTCCCCATCTCCTTGCCTAAGCCACTTTGTTCTTTGTTCCTTCCACACTCTTGCCTCTGACATTCTTTTCCCTCTGCATAACAGATGATCAGATTGGGAACGGAAGCTTCTGTAGTATATTATACTGTATTATCTACTGCTACACCATAAAATCTCTGTTCTACAAACTTTTTCACCCACCTTTTCACCCAATCTCTTTTCACCTCCCATCTGACACTCTTGATCTGAAAGAAATTAAGGCTGGTGTGGAGCATCACTGATGGATGAATTTTGAAGTTTAGAAAAGCATATGATGGCAATGATGTTTTAATAGTATACCCATTTTTACGAGCTGAGTATCATAGATATTGCAACTCATTTATTCTGTTCTTTTTGTGGCTGGCTGATCCTAGAAAAGTGAGTGACCTTTACTTGAGTGTGTCATTTTGTACGATTAATGGTTTTAATTTTACAACTGTTCTCCTTCAGTTATAGGCAAAATCTATGACTACGGTATAGATATGTGGTCTGTAGGCTGTACATTATATGAACTTTACACAGGAAAAATATTGTTTCCTGGGAAAACCAACAATCATATGTTGAAACTTGCTATGGACCTCAAAGGAAAGATGCCAAACAAGGTAAAGAAATAAATTGCTTGTAAAGATGAGTAACACTGTAGAATTTTCCCTGATCTTGTAGGAATCTTGTAACATCCCAACTTGTTCACCCTGCCCCTAAACTATGGTTTACAGCCTGTGGATATTCTTTCTGAAAGGGGCCAATATGCTATTAAAACTTAATTCTAGTGGAACTTCCCAGTAACTAGAGTCTGTGGGTGGAACTCACCATTGCATGAGAGGACTCCTGCTTGCAGAACAGCTTTTCACCTTTCTTTCCTCCCCGCTGCAGCTCCCTTTATGCCACCCTCTAGGAAGACTTTGAGGATATTCAGAGGGCTGCAGGTGGGAAGAGAGGAAGATGTAGTCTTCTTGTGTGAGCACAAATGCCTTCCACTCACACGCTGAGAGTATGGGATACAACAGTCTATCGTTGATGCCAATGAAAAAGACATCTCATTTTTTATTGTAGATTTTTCTCTCTCTCTGCAGTGATCTGAAGAAATAGAACGTAATGACCCCTGATGTTTTCTGGAAGTAACGTGAGGCTTTTGATGTAGGCTTGTCTTAGTTTTCTGGAGTTAAATGTGTAGAGGCCTATTTTAAGATGCTACCTTTTTATCAGTTGAAGATTTCATATGCCCTAAGCTTCTGAGATCTGCGTAAAATAAAGTGCACTTTATTTTTCAGTTTGCCTACATGGTTGAAATAAGCCTTTCTCTTTGAGATTATTGCTTTCATGATTTATACTTGTGGACTTTTTAAGACTTTCAGTTTGCTATCTATTTTCAGATGATCCGAAAAGGAGTCTTCAAAGATCAACACTTCGATCAAAATCTCAACTTTATGTACATAGAGGTAGATAAAGTAACAGAAAGGGTAAGTCTGAACTACACTAAGTAAAATGCGATGTTCTGTTTGGAAATTTCTCATGCCTTTTTTATAGGTTTAAATTAGAATTTGGTGAATATGGTTCTTATATAAATTTTGCAACTTTTTGTATGAAGGGCTTGTTTTAAAACTCATTGACATACACCAAGCTTGGGAGAGATCAGTAACAATATACAGCATATTCTTCAAACTGGCAGCAAACTTATTAGCATAGAGAATCCCACATGAACAAATACATGAAGATTTTATACAATAGCAGCTGAATTGGTTCAGTGGAATACCCAAACTATTCACTAATTGCAGATTTGCAGTGAAGGTTGAAATACTTTCATCCTTCTTTAGTTTTGAGAAAACAGTCCACGCAGTACAGAATACACAGAAAGCTCCTATTTGGAGGGTACATTCTCTTTATTTCCCCAAGGTGAACCCCAATTTTCTAGTCTAAAAGATCTACCTTGTTAAGGTAAGATGGGGGACAACTGTTGTGATTGCAGTGTACATTGATGTTAAATGGTGAACTGTTGAGTCTGTGCACTGAGTAGCTCTGCTTTCAGCCTCAGTTCTGCAGCGTTGATTTGGCACGAGAGGGGCTTAAGTTAGTGGTGGTCAAGGAAGGTGGGGAGTAGGGAATGAGAAGCTCAAGTAAGTGCAGCAAATGATGGATGCTCACCCATTTACCGTGCTGTTCACAGGCATAGCTAAGAGGTGTGGCTCTCCTCACCTTGGCTGTGATCACACGGAATAGTGATTGGGTGCTGTGAAGGACTTCAGAGAAGAGATTTTCACAGCACAGCAATAATCAGCTTTTAGCTGGTTGGGAGGGCGGCTAAACTAGGGCACGTGCAAAGATGTTTACTTAGAATCCGATTAAAGTTACTAGTCTTTTCTCCATTTCCATGAAAATGCTAGCACTTTTCACCTAGCATGATCCAGCCTTCTGCAGTCCGTAAAATAAGAAACTCCATTTAGCTGTTGAATGTAATATGCCCCATTTAAAATAACAAAGCACCACCATAAGTTGGAATGTCCATATACTATTTCTATGGCTTTATTGTTGCCTCAGATATTAAGTGCTGGATGCCCTTATCTTTGTAGGAAAAAGTAACTGTCATGAGCACCATTAATCCAACAAAGGACCTGCTGGCAGATTTAATTGGGTGCCAACGCCTCCCTGAAGATCAGCGCAAAAAGGTTCACCAGCTGAAGGACTTGTTGGACCAGATCCTCATGTTAGACCCAGCTAAACGGATTAGTATCAACCAGGCTCTGCAGCATGCCTTCATCCAGGAGAAAATTTAAATCCAGCGAAGATGTTCAAAGGGTTTGACTAGTTAATATACAAAGACTGATGCAATTTCACAGCAATTTATAAATGTACATATAGCATATAAATAATTACCCTGCAAAGTTGAGGAAGAATGATATATTTGAATTAACACCAAGGCGGATATTTCTTTTAGAAATGTTAGAGTAACTCTGTTTGTCTCTCACGTGAAGATTTTTTCACTGTAGAACTGTTTTATTGCCAAGACTGCACAGAAATACAATGCTAGCGTATATGGCTGCAGTTCCCAAACACGTATATATATAATATATATATATAAAAACACACACACATATGCTCCCTCTCTCTCACCCTAACTAAATGCAACAAAGCATCTCTTAAAATATCAGTAAGACTGGGTGGTTGATTTTGGTTTTTAGCAGATTTGGCTTCATTTTGGTCTCTGAAAAATGGCCAGCATAAATGCTGTTTATATTGCATTTTCCTAGGTGTGTGCGTGCAGGCCACAGCAGCATGCCCTTGGTGTAGTCTGTGCCGAAGGGGGTCTATTCCTTCTTGAGCCTGCCCGCAGGGATGGTCTCCTCTTTTAAAGCAGGTTGCGTACAACTTTCAGTACACTGAAGGTAAGCTAAACCATCAACATCACTGATGTTTAAGATGTTAATTGTACTGGAGCAACTGGCAAATGAGGGTCAATAGCTTTGTAGCGGAATTCCCTGCATGTTTTTATATAAATGATCTTGTTTTTTGTTTTCTGGCATTACAACTGTGGCATAATTCCAACTTCTGTTTGATCATCACATTCAGAAAAAAAAAAATTGGGGAGTGTGCACTTGATGGAGAGAGCGCCTTCAGTGTACTGTTTATTACTTTCACTTTTAAAAAATCAACTTGCTATATATATAGACTTTATACATTTTGTTAAATGCAGTTCACTATGGCATAGAGCCAATACTTAGAGAAGTTTTCATTTCCTAACGACAAATGTGGAGCTCCACTTCCAAAAGTCCTTATTTCATGGCCAGATAGAGAACACCATAATAAAGATTTTTAGCTACTTGTATGTCATTTGAAAGTGTACTGCTTTATGCTAAAGGTGTTTTTCATTTGTTCATTGTTTTCATTATTTGTGATCATGTTGTCTTTCAATACAGGCATAAACCTTCCACTCTTGAACAAAGCAGCTGCTTTTTAAAAGCGGTAATTGCTTCTTTACCTTTTATTTCTTTTGTAAATGAAGCTTTCTTTAAGAAATGTGACTTTAAAGTGTTGTCTCTTGCATAAAACAGTTGACATTCACTTATTGTAAAGTGAAGATTGTTCTGCTGCATGTAAAGTGGACCATGCAGATTTCTGTATGTTTTCAGTATGCATCATTAGATAATAAAGTCTTTTGTGAACAAGGCATTGGTAGCCATTTTTAAAAGATTTTGTCTCCAGTGTTGCCGACTCAGGTAATCGCATCAGAGGAATCTTTCGTTTTTGATAGTCCGTTAATTAAAGCAGTTAATAAAAGATGTGGCCCATTGAAAGAGAGATTAGATTCTTAATTATCCACATTTCAGTTTAGATACTACCCCCTGCACCCTACAGATACTGTCTACTTTCATTGTAAATTTATTCCTGTAGGTTGTTGGATTCGAATCAGGTTTTAACTAATGTTTGTGCTGTTTTTCTTACTTTTCCTTTTTGATGGTGCTGAGAGAGACAAGGAAAGCAAGTCACAGGCCACTCAACGCCTACTCCAGGGGGTCTGGTTTGCTGAGACACCAACTTCACCTTCCTAACAAGGTTATTTCTGACAGCATGTGTAGATAAACATTTAGCAACAACTTAAACAATAGCTCCTTGTTCAACATGAAGGTACCAAACTCAGTGGTTTAACGTTTACCAATCCAATTCTTGCATTAAAAAACTGATCCACGTATTATCTTATTTGTATGTATTTCATGTATGTTGCACAGGTGTACAAAAACACCCCAAATCATGAAATTCTGTAAATAGGATTTTTGAAAATCCATTTAGGCAGAAAATTGCATCCAGTTGTGCGCATTTAGTACAATCCGCCATGCTGCTTGCCTAAGGGGTGATCTATCTATCCCCCCTCCCCATTTTAAAAGAGCACACTGCAAAGGAGGCAAGTGATGTTAACTTGCCTGTCTTGACCCTCTACCCTTTTTCTTCTCCTAAAGTTACTTTAAAAGTAGCAAATCTGTTTCTCTGTCAGCTTACTTAAAATACTTCTTGTTTGTGCAGGAGACAGAATGCAGCTTTCACTCTCACTGAAATGAAGAAGTAGATTACTTGATAGTTATTTGCACGGAGCAGTGTGGCGCACACTGCTTTGGAGACACCTCCAGGCTATCTTGCACGCCAGGTGGCATTCTGACCCAGATTGTCGTAAAATTCTATTGCCTCCACCATTGTTCCTTGCCCCCCCGTTTACAAGTAATGAAAAGAGTTGGTCATGTCAACTCCTGTAGCAGCTACCACCAACCTTATGGCAACAGGATTTGTAAACAGTTCCTAAGAAAAACAAAGTTGCTTGTTTACTTGTTCTTTGTGTTATAGGTGCCGCTCAAATGAAGATGATGGAAACCAGAAGACATGAACAAAGGTTTCTGTTCTATAAAAGATATGAAAAACATTCATTTAGTTATGTCTAGTTTTTTTTTTCCCCCTGTTCACAGCACTGAGATATATATAGACTTCATTTACACTTTTGCCATTCTGGCAGTTCTTAGCATAGTACCGTTGTGGTGTTTTTATGTAAAACGTGTCTGTTTCATCTTTTGGGTGATGTGATTTTGTTGTGATAAACTTGAGATAGGCATGGTTAAATAAACATTTTATTATAATACTGTAGGCAAGAGTCAAGCACATTTGATGGTAAATTTTATTTATTACATTTTTATTCCACCCTTCCTGCCAAAGGAGCCCTAGTGATAAGCTCACGGACATACTATTTAAATTTCTGCAAGCAGGTATCAGCATACTGCAACATTCATTTATCCCGGGGCATGCATTATATATTCTTTGGCTGCAAAATATCAATCTTACTTTGGATGTCTCAAAGTGTTAAGAAGAGGTCAGACCTTTTGCAGAGGATGGCTGTGTGAAGAGCCAGCAGAGATTCTGGAGGTGTAGACCAGTTTTTTTATAACTCAGTTCACATTGTAGTGGGAGATCATAGGACTTAGCTTTGCTTCTCTCAGCAATTCAATTTAGACTTTTAAGTGGAGTGGCTTTCTGACGGATACTAGACCAAGCTTAAAAAACAAACAGACTGAAAAATGAGGATATACTTAAGCCACAGGTCCGTCAAGTAAGAATTAAATATACTGCTTTTTACAGTATATTTACTGTATCCGTTGCATCAGTTTGGAAATGTATTTTAAGAATATCTTCTAGTTCTATTTATCCTTGTGCTGCAGTGTAGGTTGCTATGATACACAAGGTTATTTTGAAATGACTTTGATATATCTGATACTGATTTCTGCCTTTGCTAATCATGTGTTTCCCTTCCTGTGTAGGGTAAGTGGCAGAAAATTTCTGAGAAAAATTTGCATGGATTGAAGTTTGCTCAGGAGGCAGATCAGACTATGAAAATACAGAAGGCTGATATCTTTGTGAGATTGACAAACAGTAATGAACTTGTGCATCAAAAAGTGAAGCAGTGGTTTAAGATAACACTTTTTACCATTCATTTTTGACGTTTGATGAATAACGAGCTTATTAAAGTTTTTGTGTGTTTGCTTACGCCGAGTTCTATGGAATATTAAATAACAATGCAATGACGCATTCCTAAGATGTGCTTCTAACCATGTAGTCAGTATGATCTACCTATTGTATTAGTCTGGTGGTTCAAAGAATGAACACCAGATGATTGATTTGCCCAAAACCACACTACATTCACCATACAACTGGAGTGAGTTGTTAACACAAGCAAGGAGTAAGCTTTGTCACCAGCCACAACACTGAGTTAACAGGAAGGCTCTGCAAGTTTATCTAAGACAGGTGGGGAACCTGTGGTCTTCCAGATTTGGACTCTCAACTCCCATAAGCTCCAACCAGCATGTTGAGTGGTCAGGATGATGGGAGTTATAGTGCCAGCAACATCTGAAGGGCCACAGGTTCCCCAAGCCCAATCTAAGAAAACTCCATGATGCCTGGGCATTGTCAGATTTTTAGATGCATTCATTGTAGTTCAGATTGTGGATAAGCACAGCTTGATCTCTGTGAAAATGTGTTTTATCACAAACTAACATTGATGAACATGGTTAACCTAGAAGTTATTCTTTCACTTCTGCTTTTCTTTATTGTAACTGTCAATATTTTGCTGCCATTAAGTAATTCCTTCTTGTGAATGCATTTGACACATTAATTTGAAATTACTAATAAAATGAAAACTATATAAGCTACGGCTCTGAGGGTTGTTGTTTTCTTTACAATCAAGCAGTGTTAAAATTTACGGGCTTTTATCCAGTATTGTGTAAGTACACACAGATGGATATTTTCCTTCCCATTTCTCCCCTATACCCCCCCAAAGGCTTTCCAGGAGGTCAGGGGTGGGGTGGGGGCTCAAAATCAGGAAGAGGAATCTTGTGCCAGTATGCTATTTTATTTCCTCCCCCCTTTCTATTGCACCTTCATTCAACAGTCCACAATGTTCAGTAGATGCTACCTGACATTATGGCAAGCTTTGTGGCGGGTACAGGAAAATAGATAAGATAGATAGATAGGCAGGCGGGGGGTGGGGTGGAAGAGAAATATCCATTGGGTGATCATGCCTCATGGTCGCACAACAGATACAACCCAGTCAGTTTACATAAAAGGAGAGCACACGTTACTGTTTAGAAGTGTTTAGAGAAATGCTGTCTTGAGAACACAACAGTATTGCAAGTTTATCTAAATATACAAAAAAAGTAAACCTCTTCACAGACTGAATTAATAGAAAATGGTTCAGAACTCCCACATTTTCTCCCTAGACCTAGACCTACTTGTGTATGTGCCAATTGATGATAACACTTAATGCATCTGATAATAGTCTCTCTAGTCCTCGGAAGCCTGTATCACAATAAATCTGTTAAGTTTTTTAAGTGCTAAAAGTCTCTCTTGTATTTGAGTGAACATCACACTTCTGGTATTCTTCTTCAATAGAAACATACTATGTAGAGTATGAAATAATAACTGCTTTCAAGTTTTTTTCAAACTCGTGTAGTCAGTATTATTTTTAGAGCAACAGCAGCATATGATTGCTTTTGTTTTCTGCTTGCTTGTGATTCACTCTCCTAAAAGATGAATGAAACGAACATGCTTTGTATTCAGTATTTATATTTCTCTAACATGTGATTATGTTTTGCTAAATAAATATCATCCACTACTTGAAGCATACTATGTTGTTCCTTCTCATTTTTAAGCTAAAGTAAGGGTTCCCTTTCTTTAATCTTACTCATCTGGTTTGAATTCATTTGCTTGGAAAAGAGTGGATTTGCATGTTCCATTTTAACATGCTTCCCCATGCCCAAATACAAAACCAGAGAATGTCTCGGTTTTAAATGCAACTGCAAGTAATCAGACTGAAAGTTAAATATTTCATTATTTTATCCTTGATAAAAATGTGGTTGAATAACTTCAATTCAAATATAGCATCACTTTCTTTTACACCAGGAGTGGTGGAGCCTTTGGCTTTTTATATTTTGGACTTCAGCTGCCTGAAGTCCAAAATCAGCTCCTGCCAGCACACTCAATGGTCAGGAACAATGGGAAGTTGTAATCCAACAACCGTGGGAGAGCTACAGGTTTCCCTGGCTGTAGGTTGCAGTATGTATACTTTTACTAATGAAAGTATTAGCAACCTTTCAGGTCGCATGGGGGTAGTGGGTAGATGACAGGAGACTGGTTTTAGTCTAGCCTCTCTGAATCTGGCTTGCTTGGTCCAGGAAATTATTTTTGTACAACAGAGCTTTCAGTCACTATAAGCCCAAGCTGCAGCCTGAAGTGGTACAACTGAGGGACAAGTTTACATCTCGCTGGCCACTGAAGAAATGAACCTATGCCTTTTTCATCAGAGTGGGACACGGGTGCCTAAAATGAGATGCCACCGCCACTCCTATTTCAAGGACATTGGGAGTCTGTGCTCAGCAGAAAGTTCCATGTAAGTAGGAGCACATCATATACTCCACTCATTTCAATTAATGAAACATGCCCCAGGAAATCTTCAGGTAGATTAGATTTTAATAGCTTTCATTTTGAAGCTTTTTTTTTTTTTTAAAGCACTGTTCTGTAATTCAAAGCAACTGATAAAAGGTGCCAAGGGTCTTTTTGTGGCCTTCAGTACTGAGCAACTTTGATTTCTCCAAAATGTACTTTCAGTAATGCAAATTGACCATAGAAGATGTTTGTTGCTCAACACTGGAATAGCTCTGCACTTAAGAGTCTTATATCAAGACTATAAGCCTCATCCATCCTGCATTCTAAACTGAGCCCTTGGTACTGAGACCCTTGTTGGTAGACAGCATAGGCTATTGCATGAAAGGATATCCACAGCCAAATATTTGAGCAATCACCTGGTGGTGGTCAATGGAAGTGCCTGCCATGTGTGGTTTGCACCAGAAATCAACCCTCAAGAGCAGCTTTTGAGGGAAGGGGGGCTGTAGTGGGGGTGGGGGAGAAATCTAGGAAACGCCATTGCATGAGCAGAGTTCCACTTTTACCTTCTTTTGATCCAATCTATTTTGATTAAATCTATTTTCCACCCAAAAAGTTACAACCTAGTAAACAATAATTCCATACTGTGTTTCGGCCTATATTTCTGTCACCACAACCACCTTTTGAAAGTCGGAATTTAAAAAGCAGTTTAAACAATTTATAACGCAGTGGATTTACCTAGAATAATCTATACGCGGAGCATGCCTACCACAGTGGAGAAGCATCTCTGGCAGAGGAACTGCCATGTCCAAAGCCTGTTAACTTAACACCAGCCAAGGCAAAAGCTGAGGAAGGACGTTTCCCCCTATCCTAAACACCAGTGCTCCTCTCCCCACCCCACCCCCTTCAATTTCCCTCTCATTGGAATAATTTTCCTCCTAGTTTGGAAGTATTTCAAGGTAACTTGGGAGCCTGCAGATCCAAGGCCTTCAATCTGCACCAGCACACCCCTTTTGTTCTCCCTTGTGTTGTAGACACATTGACAGCAGAGGGGGATGCTGTGGTCAAAATCAATGGGTCTCCAGTGATGGATCTCCCACTCTGGATCTCCCTCTGCAGGCAAAGGGGAAGAGCTGCTCTGTTCTATCATCAAGTAGGAGCCCACAGCACTACCTGTTAAATGGCTAAATTATACTGTTGCAAAAAAAAATAATCTGCAGTGGTTTCCTTTCCATTCTGGCAAATTTCCAAATACGAATTTATTACAAGTACACAAAAAAATCCAGGCCAGATATCTAGGTCTTTTAATCTAGTATGATATTATGTCTCCAACCAGTAAACTAGATGGCATTAGGATGACTTCAGATGGCTATAACCAAATTATGTTGATTTCCCCTTAGTATCTGATCAGAAGTGTATTGCCTCTGAGCATGAAAGTTATGGTTTTAGCTTATCAATATAAAACTAGAGTAATCCTCTGAAGCCAATTATCAATGCATGTTTAATTCCTCATTTATTTTTTACAGTTTAGAATCACACCAATAGCAAAGGACTGCACTTTATTTGCCTATTCAATTTAAACTTTTTATATAAAAAAACCATCTTAACATTAATTTTTTTAAAAAGATAAAGAATACTATGATTACAATTATTATTATATGATAGAAAGGTAGGAATCCTTTTTTGCTATCGGTTTCTTTTAAAATCTTACATGAAAATGTTCTCCCGGAAAAAATAAAATCTGATATTTTCATACAACACAGATTAAAAACTGGATACAGCTTTCCAAATCACCATTGCTCAATCCTTTTGCTCGAATACTAATGAATGCCTGATGACTTAGTTCAACAGATCATTGCTGGTCAGCAGGCGAGCATTTTTCTTTTGAAATAACAGGTATGGATTTTAGTTTACTCGTTATCGCTCCATTTTTTCTACAAGGTTTTCGTTTTGTCCTTGGCTGCTTCCATTTTGAACTTTCGCTGTCAGGTAAGGAGTAAGCTACAGCTGCACTGGGTAAAAGCAACTTAGTTGAAGTTGTTTTGACAGCGGATCGAATTTTTGGTGAGCTTGCAGAGCAGGACAGAGCTCTCCGTGCGGGTACATTTCTTGAGTCTAAGATTACTGGAGCTTTGGCGCACTTGTTGCACCTACTGCACGATGCTCGGCAGGGCTTTGTGGACGGACGTGCAGGGGACGATGCTCCAGAATTCCACTTACTATGACAGCGCTGGCAAGTGCATTTTGGCATGTCCAATTCTTGCATGCAGCAGCCAAAATGGTGAAGATCTCCATCAAAACCTGCCTGAGGACATGAACTATCAGATTGCTTCAGTTGCTTAAACTGGTGTGCATCTTTTGAAAAACTGGTGCGGTTGTTAACCGCCATAGTGGGAGAAACAGTCTCTCTTGTCCTTTCTTTTAATATCGTCAAGTGTTGTAACTTCTCCATTTCCACCAGACGAGAAATTAGTTTGCAAAGTGATTCTTCGAGAGGTGGATTAAAGGATGATTTCCATTCATCCAATTTTGATGCGGACATTTTTTGTAAATCCCAGGTATTGTAAGGCGGGGGAAGAAAATCAGGGTATGAAAATGTATCACTCTCAGATGAAGAGGAAACGTCTTCCTTGACTTCTATAGGATCCGGTTTTAGGTTAACATTCACGGTTTTTAAATATTTCAGCAACTCTTTATTTCTTTTCTCATTTTCAGATATCTCTTTTTCTATTGAAGGCTTGTCCTCTACACTGCCATTTCCTCTTTTCAAACTCGATCTGATTACAGAAAGCATGTCATCACTACTACCATCTGTAGCAGGATAAGCAGCAGAAGCAATGGCTTCGTTTTTAAAAAAATCCCCATCTCCATTTCTATTGCAGTTCTCCAAAGCTGCTTTCTGGGTTTCAAGATAAGAAACTGTGTGGCATCTCTTTATAAAAGACTGTACCAGAGGATTATTAGTGTGGATAAAGTTTATAGGAACATCACTGGAGCTAGACGGCATTTCCCCCAAACGTCTATGGAAGTCTCTGAGGGGGAAAAGAGAGAATATGGAATGGTATCACATTACCCCTCTAGTGGACAATTTATAGAGCCAATAGCATCACTCATCCTGGATAGAGAAATAAATATATTTGAAGCCAAAGTGGCTTGATATGCACCCTGAAGCAGGCCTTTAACGTTTTCAGCAAATTAACACTCAAAAGCAGACAGACCAAAAGAAGGCTCTAGACAAACAATAAGGTACTTCAAGCAGCCCATAACTGTTCTATGGAGTTCCTTGCAGATGGAAGCCGCAGAAGCTACTAGCATAGGATACTTTAAAAAGAGATGAGATAAATCCACAGAGGATTAGTCTATCAATGTCTGTTACCACAGGGGAAATGAAGCCAAATTTTAACTTTTAAGCACCATTTGGGAACAAATTAGGTTTTAGTGCTCCCATTGTTTTTCCCCCAAATAATTTTTATTGGTTTTCATGTAAATACAAGCATAACATATAACCAAAGTAGATTGTCCAGTGGTACATTAATATTTCATATGCGGTACACAGTACACAAGCAATATGCTCCCATTGTCTTTTTCAAAGGACGGTGGTGGAGGTGTTCAATTTGGATCAGGGCTCTGTGGGGTAGAGGGAATAAGTTTGCATAATAAGCATATGGTATTGCAGCTGATACCTATTTTTAAACTTACTGAACGTGTGGTCTTTTTCTATGCTAAAGGAAGAGGGAAGTTTTGGAACTCACAATGGCATTTTAAAGGTCTTTCAGCCTGTATTTCCATGCTCTGCTTTGCTGCATGTTTTGTGATTTTAAATCTCTTCTTGGTGTTCTCTCACCCCAGAGTTCTTGCCCCAAACCTAGATTCTGACATCCAGGTAATTCTCCTTTTATACCTATTTTTTCCTTGAACCAACAAATACTTTACTATCCTACAGATAGTAACTCAAGTCATAGTAACTTATTTTAGATTTAGGGGAGCATATTTTAGATTTAGGGGAGCTAGTCTCAAACATTTGTTGGGGGAGACCTAGGTTTTTTGGGGGGATTTATTTGTCCTGTCTCCACACTTTTTATGATAGAGGACCACTGTAGTCACCCCCAACGACACGTTCTCAAGATGGAGGGTGAGGGAACAGCTGCAGTCGCCTGTGGTTCCTGCGCAATGTTTGCCATCTTGCCAAAGGTTGCAGGCAGCTTTACCTGCAGCAATTGCATGTTGATTGCCCTCTTAAAAGACAAAGTCCAGCAACTGGAGGAACGTGTAGCTACGCTCCAAAGAATTAGAGAGCTGGAACTCTTCTTGGAAACAACAGAGCACACCGTCTCCACCAAGGAAGAGACAGGGGACTCCCCTGAGAAGGTGGCTAGTTCACCAACACAGGATCCAGATATATGGAGAAACGTGACTCAAAGAAGTAGGAGGCCCAGGGTTCGCTCTGATTGTTTAGAAATACGCAATCGCTTTGAGGTCCTTTCCCCTAGCATGGAAGACGAAGAGCAGACTCCATTTGAGGATCTCTCCCTCATTACAGTCGATCAGGTATATGAAGACGAGCAGCAAAGGCAGTCCTCAGGGAATGTCCAGGCGACCTTGGAACGGACAGCTCACAGAAGAACCCCGACCAGACCTAAGAGGAGGCGTGTAGTGGTGATAGGGGATTCCCTACTGAGGGGAACAGAAGCAGTGATCTGTGGGCCTGACAAGATGTCTCGGGAAGTGTGCTGTCTCCCCGGGGCTAAGATCCAAGATGTAACTGAACGACTGCAAGGAATCATAAAACCCACTGACAAATACCCCTTCCTCTTGGTTCATGTGGGAACCAATGACACTGCAAGCAATAGCCTCCAGAAGATCAAAAGAGATTACGAGGCTCTGGGCAGGAAATTGAAGCAATTAAATGCACAAATTGTCATCTCATCTGTCCTCCCAGTTGAACGACGTGGCCCAGGGAGAGAGGGAAAAATTGTGGAAGTGAACAACTGGCTTCGCAAATGGTGTAAACAGGAACGGTTTGGATTCTTAGATCACGGAATGCAGTTTCTTGAAGATGGACTTCTGGCAAGCGATGGGCTGCACCTCACAACGGTTGGGAGGAATGTTTTTGCAAAAAATCTCAGAAACCTCATCAGGAGGGCTTTAAACTGACTAATGTGGGGGAGGGAGACAGTGCTCCTGAAGGTAGGAGTCTATCAATTGATGAAGATGATCATCCAAATGTCATAGACCGAATGGAGCAAAGAGCATGCAGACCTAGTGGTGTGAGGAAAAAATCCTTAAATAAGAGACACGGGGGAATGATTAATGGACTTCAATGTCTGTACACTAATGCGCAAAGCATGGGAAATAAACAAGAAGAGCTTGAGCTCCTGGTACAGCAAACTAAATATGACATAATAGGAATCACTGAAACCTGGTGGGATAAATCCCACGATTGGAATGTAATAATGGAGGGATACAATCTATTTCAAAGAAACAGACCAGACAAGAAAGGAGGAGGAGTGGCGTTATATGTCAGGGATGTGTATACCTGTGAAGAGATCCAAGATTTAGAACCTCAAAGCAAAAGTGAGAGCATTTGGGTCAAAATTAAGGGAGAGAAGAATAACAGTGACCTCATTGTGGGAGTTTACTATAGATCCCCAAGCCAAACGGAGGACATAGATGATGCCTTCCTGGAACAGATGGCCAAGCATGCAAAAGGAAGGGAGATAGTAGTAATGGGGGACTTCAATTACCCGGATATTTGTTGGATGTCAAACTCAGCCAAGAGCATAAGGTCAAACAGATTCCTCACTGCCCTTGCAGACAACTTCATTGTCCAGAAAGTGGGAGAAGCAACAAGAGGAACAGCCATTTTAGATCTGGTCCTAACCAATGTTGATGACCTGGTTAGTGGGGTAGAAGTGGAAGGATCATTAGGCGCAAGTGATCATGCTCTTCTGAAGTTTACTATACAGCGGAAAGGAGCAGCCAAGCATACTAGGACTCAATTTCTCGATTTTAAGAAAGCCGACTTCATAAAGCTTAGGGAAGTGCTGGGTGAGATCCCATGGACAGTAATACTAAAAGGAAAGGGAGTTCAAGATGGCTGGGAGTTTGTTAAGAGGGAGATAGTAAAAGCACAACTTCAGGCAATACCAATGAGACGGAAACATGGAAGGTGCCTAAAGAAGCCAGGGTGGCTATCTAAAGAACTTTTAACTGAGTTAAGATTAAAAAAGGATGTGTACAAAAAATGGAAAAGGGGGAAACCACCAAAGAGGAATTCAAACAAATAGCCAGCACGTGTAGACACAAAGTCAGAAAAGCTAAAGCACAAAATGAACTCAGGCTTGCTAGAGAGGTTAAAAGCAACAAAAAAGGCTTTTATGGGTATGTTCGTAGCAAAAGGAAGAACAAAGAAACCGTGGGGTCACTCAGAGGAGAAGATGGTGAAATGCAAACAGGGGACACAGAAAGGGCTGAACTCCTCAATGCTTTCTTTGCCTCAGTCTTCTCCGATAAAGAAAACAATGCCCGACCTGAAGAATTTGGAGCAAATGATTCAGCAGAGGAAACACAACCAGAATAACTAAGGAGATAGTACAAGAATACTTGGCTAGTCTAGATGTATTCAAGTCTCCAGGGCCAGATGAACTGCATCCAAGAGTATTAAAAGAACTGGCAGATGTGATCTCAGAACCACTGGCAGTCATCTTTTGAGAATTCCTGGAGAACAGGCGAAGTCCCGGCAGACTGGAGGAGGGCAAATGTTGTCCCTATTTTCAAAAAGGGGAAAAGAGAGGACCCAAATAATTACCGCCCAGTCAGTCTGACATCAATACCAGGGAAGATTCTGGAGCAGATAATTAAGCAAACAGTCTGTGAGCACCTAGAAAGGAATGCTGTGATCACCAATAGTCAGCATGGATTTCTGAAAAATAAGTCATGTCAGACTAACCTGATCTCGTTTTTTGACAGAATTACAAGCCTGGTAGATGAAGGGAACGCAGTGGATGTAGTCTACCTTGATTTCAGCAAGGCATTTGACAAGGTGCCCCATGATATTCTTGTAAAGAAGTTGGTAAAATGCGGTCTTGACTATGCTACCACTCAGTGGATTTGTAACTGGCTGACTGACCGAACCCAAAGGGTGCTCATCAATGGTTCCTCTTCATCCTGGAAAGAGTGACTAGTGGGGTGCCACAGGGTTCTGTCTTGGGCCCGGTCTTATTCAACATCTTTATAAACGACTTGGATGATGGACTCAAGGGCATCCTGATCAAATTTGCAGATGACACCAAACTGGGAGGGTGGCTAACACCCCAGAGGACAGGATCACACTTCAAAACGACCTTGACAGATTAGAGAACTGGGCCAAAACAAACAAGATGAATTTTAACAGGGAGAAATGTAAAGTATTGCACTTGGGCAAAAAAAATGAGAGGCACAAATACAAGATGGGGGACACCTGGCTTGAGAGCAGTACATGTGAAAAGGATCTAGGAGTCTTGGTTGACCACAAACTTGACATGAGCCAACAATGTGACGCGGCAGCTAAAAAAGCCAATGCAATTCTGGGCCTCATCAATAGGAGTATAGCATCTAGATCAAGGGAAGTAATAGTGCCACTGTATTCTGCTCTGGTCAGACCTCACCTGGAGTACTGTGTCCAGTTCTGGGCACCACAGTTCAAGAAGGACAGTGACAAACTCGAACGTGTCCAGAGGAGGGCAACCAAAATGGTCAAAGGCCTGGAAACGATGCCTTATGAGGAACGGCTAAGGGAGCTGGGCATGTTTAGCCTGGAGAAGAGGAGGTTAAGGGGTGATATGATAGCCATGTACAAATATATAAAAGGATGTCACATAGAGGAGGGAGAAAGGCTGTTTTCTGCTGCTCCAGAGAAGCGGACACGGAGCAATGGATCCAAACTACAAGAAAGAAGATTCCACCTAAACATTAGGAAGAACTTCCTGACAGTAAGAGCTGTTCGACAGTGGAATTTGCTGCCAAGGAGTGTGGTGGAGTCTCCTTCTTTGGAGGTCTTTAAGCAGAGGCTTGACAACCATATGTCAGGAGTGCTCTGATGGTGTTTCCTGCTTGGCAGGGGGTTGGACTCGATGGCCCTTGTGGTCTCTTCCAACTCTATGATTCTATGATTCTATGATTCTATGATTCTAAGTCCTTTATATATGGGAAACACAGACAGATGGGCAGGGTATTATTATTATTATTATTATTATTATTATTATTATTATTATGCAGATCAGAGACATTGGTTCTGCTTTTTATGCAATTATTTAAGGTTTTTTTTTAAAGAAACAAGTCACACATTCCAGGAAAGGAAAGCAGGAAAAGCATTTTCTTCATGCACAGAACAGCAGCATCAAGACACCATACAACAGGAGACAAATAAAAGTAACGAAGAATTGCAACACAGGAGTGCTGGTGCACAGACACCCTAAAGCTGTTGACAATTCCTTCTGATAAATGAAGAAGTGACTATCTGCTTACGTTGGCCTGTTCTGTTCAGTTTTGTTTAAAAAGCTAAGAATACGTTTCTGTACCTGCTCACTGCCTTGTTGCCTTGATTATGTATATAGCTCCAGGAATGATATTGGTGCTTGTCTGCAGCTATTTGGGCTGAGCTAAAAAAAGCAGAACATTTAAAAACAAAATTGCTGTTGGTATGCAATTCAGAACAAAACACTGGAATTCAAAGTAAGTAACTGGATTGTTAAAAAATTTTGGCAAACGAATACTACCTGGCATGTCCTAGTATTTTTGGACAAGCTAGAGCTGCCAGCTGTTCCATTGCAGCATTATAATGGTCCTGTAAAAGAGCAGATCCACTTCAATATTTGTAAGGCAGAACATCATTTCTAAAGAATCATGCTTCGTGTTTTAATCCTAAAACTAACCTCAGACCCGGACACGGGTGGCGCTGTGGATTAAACCACAGAACCTAGGACTTGCCGATCAGAAGGTCGGCGGTTCGAATCCCCACAACAGGGTGAGCTCCGTTGCTCTTTCCCTGTTCCTGCCAACCTAGCAGTTCGAAAGCACGTCAAAGTGCAAGTAGATAAATAGGTACTGCTCCAGCAGGAAGGTAAACGGTGTTTCCATGCGCTGCTCTGCTTTGCCAGAAGCGGCTTAGTCATGCTCGCCACATGACCCGGAAGCTGTATGCCGGCTCCCTTGGCCAATACAGCGAGATGAGCGCTGCAACCCAGAGTCAGTCAAGACTGGACCCAATGGTCAGGGGTCCCTTTACCTTTACCTAACCTCAGACCCACCTGTTGGACTGTAGAAATCCTAAAGAGGTTTACTGAAGGATTTGTGTGTGATTCTAGAACTGAATAAGACAAGCTGGCTTGGTAGACTTGAGGCACATACGGCCAGAAAGGATCCATGTATGAGCAGCAAAGAGGAAGCACAGGTTTCAAGCTATGTTGCTACTGTATATTGCAATGTCCATCTGGTCTTTTACCACTATTTATGCTACAAGTTCAGTTAATCTGAAATATTTCCAACCACCTTGGATAGACCCTGCTAGAGTCTGAGCCAAATGATCACTTCTAAAATGAAAGCAAAATAAAGCTTAATAGGGAGTGCAAAGATGACAGCATTTAGTTGTCCAGGTGTCTCAAAGAAGCAGAGCTAATAACTATCAAACTTGCACCAACAGGGGTTTGTTTTGTTTTTAAATGACTGTTAGCAGCATATATGTTTGAATGTTTGCTTTAATTGATTATCTGTGCATACTGAATTTATACAGCTGCCCATCAATAAATATTTTCTGGGTAGCTTCCAAAGAAACAAGCAAAATAATGGTAATAATACAATATACCATTATTAAAAATCAACAAGTATCAATAAAAGATGGGGAAATAATTGCAAGAGAGAAGGTATGAAACAGTCTAGATTTAAAACACAATTAAAAGGCTCAGATGAATACAAAATAATCAAAGCTAGCAATAAAAATATGATAGAAACGCAGTCATGGTTGACTTGCTGAATCCTCCTTAGCAACCGGTGGATGCAGTTATTTCATCTTTATACACTACAGCAGAATTCTTCAATCTTGGGTTCCTACACGTTGTTGGACTACAGCTCCCATCAAACCTAAGCAATTCAGCTAATAGTCAGGGATAATGGGAATTGTAATCCAACATCTGTGGACCCAAGCTTGAAGAAGGGTGCACTATACGATTGTATTTCTTATGAACATCATGAGACAGTCACTGCAACAGCGCAATCTACCAGTGAAAAATCCTGAATCGTAACTGCACTGCATTCAAAAAGCTGCCGTATGTATTGTGGTTCTTGCTATATTAAAAGTGCAGCATGCAAAACTGGAAAAACAAGGGACAAAGTCGTGTGGGGTTTGGCACAACCGCCATTGCTGAAATCGCTTGTTGGCTTTTGTTGCTTGTGTGAACAGCTCCAATTCCGCATTTGCAGTGTGGAGTAGAAGAATGGGCTAGAAGTCCATTGTGGCTGTGTTGCTGAGTGTGCTGAAACAACATCATGGGAGAGGTGTCTCCAGCTTCCCCATCTCCTGCCTTTGGAAGCCTTGGAAGAAGATGCTGAGGGAGATGGACTGTGAGAAATGTTATGGTGAAATGTCTGGTACCAAGGTGAAACTGTCAAGCTCCCTTGTTATTTTTGCTATGGTCAGGAAGTGAAATGTTGTTAATGGAGTGCTACTGCATGAAAATGTTGGGGTTTTTTGCTGTTATATCTGCTTGCCTTTTAAAATTATTTTATTATGAAATTATTCTCTGTGATTGTTGATTTCTGAGATGTTTACCTGTTTTGTTTGTTGAAAGCTGCTTCAAGCATGATTTTAATGGCAGCATTAAAAAAAATGATGATGATGATAATGATGATCAACATCCCTGCCATGTTCTCCAAATGGAAGCAGCCTTAGATAAACACATGAAGTGCAGTATTACTGTATTACTGCCAGGGTATTCACACAACTTCACTAACGATGCAATCCTATTTACAATGTCAAGTAGAAAGTCCCACAATAAATATGCATTGATTGAGCTGTATGGCAGACAGCTAAAACCTCAATTCTGTTTGTGAAGAAATTGGAAAAATCCTTCAAGGACTCACACCTGAATTATGCATACGAAACTTCCTTTGAAATAAGAATCATGACAAGAAAGCATAGGCTTCTTTAAAAATTATTCTTAAAGGACTGGTGTTTATTTTGTTCTTACCTTATAAAACGCACCTGTAAGAACACCTGTAAAAGACCAAGAGTTGAGTTTTGCTTACAAAAGTTGTTTTATAATTTCTCAGCTTATAGAATATTTGCACTTGCTCACCTTCTCTAGCAATCTTCTCTTCTGATGAATGAAATTTCTTTTCAGCAGAAAAACCAGATTCCCAAATTACAGAAGTGTGGTTTCTGTAGGAGGAGGAGGAGGAGGAGGAGTTTGGATTTGATATCCCGCCTTTCACTCCCCTTCAGGAGTCTCAAAGCGACTAACATTCTCCTTTCCCTTCCTCCCCCACAACAAACACTCTGTGAGGTGAGTGGGGCTGAGAGACTTCAGAGAAGCGTGACTAGCCCAAGGTCACCCAGCAGCTGCATGTGGAAGAGCGGGGACGCAAACTCGGTCCCCCAGCTTACGAGTCTACCGCTCTTAACCACTACACCACACTGAATGCATGTGTGTGATTTTTTATTTTTTTAATGACTTATTTTTAATGAAGCAAGTTCTCGTTTTTTATTCTTTATGTTGTGAACTGCCCTGTGCTCTCTTCGGGTGAAGGACTGTATACAAATTAAATAATAAGGATAACTAATTCTCCCTGTAATGAGGCGTTCTATTTTGAAGGAACAGGAAGGAATGTGAAGTGGAAAGCAAATTGTGACAGGGGGAAAAACCCCCACCCCACTTGTGAGTAAATGAGGTTCAGGCAGGCCAGTGAAGTGGGTGTACTGGTTAGGCATCACACACATTGGAATTGGAAGCAGAAATTCCCTGAATTTATGCCCTGTGA